CCCCCCTCCCTGTCCAGGTGGTATGTGTTTATAGGTTGATGAGGCTATCCATGCTGTGCTCGACTCTGCGTACTACATCGGTGGCCCGCAGGTTGCTCAGTTTGAGACCGAGTTCTCCGAGTACATCACCGGTGAGGACGGCCATTGCGCTGGCTGCTCCAACGGGACGGATGCCATTCTGCTTGCTCTCGAGGCGCTCGGTGTGGGTGAGGGTGATGAGGTCATCACCCAGGCCAACACCTACTGCGCTACGGTGTTTTCGATCACCCGGACGGGTGCCAAGGCTGTTCTTGTCGACGTCGATGCCGAGACGATGATGATGGACGCATCCCAGATCGAGAGCAAGATCACGGCCAACACCAAGGTCATCATGCCGGTGCACCTCTACGGCCACTCGGCCGACATGGACGCGGTGATGGACATTGCCAAGCGGCACAACCTGCTGGTGGTCGAGGACGCGTCGCAGGCGCACGGGTGCACATGGCGCGGCCAGAAGGTCGGCTCGTTCGGTGACGCCGCGGCGTTCTCCATGTACCCGGGCAAGAACCTCGGCGGGTACGGTGACGCCGGCGCGATCATCGCCAAGGACACGGCGATCATCGAGAAGATCAAGATTCTGCGCAACATGGGCCAGAAGGTCAAGTACCACCACGAGTGCGTCGGGTACAACCACCGCCTGGACACGCTGCAGGCTGCCGTGCTCTCGGTCCGCCTCCGCCACCTCGACGCGTGGAACTCGCGCCGCAAGGAGCTCGCTGCCCGCTACATCGCCGGCCTCAACGCCGTTGAGGGCCTGACCCTCCCGACCTGGGACCCGGCGACCGTCGACCCTGTGTGGCACCTCTTTGTTCTCCGCGTCGGCTCGGCCGAGAAGCGTGACTCGGTGCTCAAGGCGCTGCAGGGCGCTGGCATCGGCGTTGGCGTCCACTACCCCATCTCGGTCAACAAGACCGGCGCCTACGCTGACGAGTTCAAGGACTCGTCGTACCCGATCACCGAGGCCGCCGCCGTCGGCATGATCTCCATCCCCATCCACCCGGACCTCACCGACGACGACCAGGACTACATCATCGAGCAGGTCAAGGCTGCTCTTGCCTAATCAAGTTGTGGTTGACATTAAGTGACACCTTTAGTGGTAGTGAGGGTGGACGAGCGAGTATCTACATAAACAGTCGTTGTCTCCCTCGGTTACGGTTTACCGCGGCGAGGTGTTCGGCGAGTTGACGGCGCTCATCGACATTGAAGGGATGGAGGAGCGGGCGGTGGAGATGCCCAGCTCGCTCTCGCCCGAGGGCACGGCAGACGAGGCAGAGAGCGAGGTGATGAGGTCCCGGTCGAGGAGCGGGACGCGCGAGCCGCCACCGGTGGTGGGCAGGCCGAGCACGTCGCGCTCGGCATAGTCGCCGTAGAAGCGGGCGCCGAAGTTGCCGACGCCCGGACGGACGTAGAACATTTCGTCGACGAGGTCATCGAGGGCGGTGGCGACGATGGTAAGCTTGGGGAAGAGGTACGCGAGGTGGACGACGGCCGGGACTGCAGCGACGAGGCAGAGGAAGTAGATGTTCTCCTCGAGGACGTGGTGGTCGAGCAGGAGGCGGACAGCCATTTCTGCGGTGGCTCCGGTGCCTGAGACGGGGTCGAGAAGGAGGACTGAGCGCGAGCCGATGTCTGCCGGCAGCGACTTGTAGTAGAGGAACGGCTGCTTGGCGTGGTTCTGCTGGATGAGGATCTTGCCGAGGCGCACGTCCTGGGCCACTTCGCGCAGAGCCTTTTCCATGGCCTCGCCGGCCCGGATGATGGAGACGCCGCAGATCTTGCTCGCCGGCGCCTTGCCGTGGTACTCGGCGCCGGTCGGGGTGACGACGGTCAGGTCCTGCATGGGAAGGTACGACAAAGCCTCCTCGACGAGTAGCCGTGAGAGGCGGTGGGCGTAAAAGACAAACTGGTCGCGCGGCGTCGACGCGTCGCGGAGAACAGTGAGCATGGCCGTGATCTGCTTGCCCTCGAGGAGGTGGAACGACGGCGGGAGGAGCTCGTGGTCAGTGGCAAGGGCGCGGGTCCGCAGCACCTCACGAGTCGGCACCCCGCGCTCGGTCAGGGTCGTCCGGATGGTGCGGACAATGAGGTCGACGCCGACCGAGTTGCTGTCACGCCCGTACGGCAGCACAATGTCAGCGTGCTTGAGCGTCGGCGCAATAAACGTGTGGAACGCCGGCTTAACAAACCGCTCGTACTGGGCGAGGATGCTCGTCACCGTCCGCCCGCGGTCGATCTGGTCGCGCCGCAGCCGGCGCGCCAGCCGCACGTCCGGGTCGGCGTCGACGTAGATCTTGAGGTCGAGCAGCTCGCGGACGCGTTCGTCGTAGAGGGCAAAGAGGCCCTCAAAGAGAATGACGTCGGCGCCGTAGACAGGCACCCAGTGCTTGCGCGAGTTGGTGGTAAAGTCGTAGACCGGCACACGCACCGCCTTGCCGTCACGCAGGTCCGTCAGCGTCTGCAGCATCAGCTCCCAGTCCACCGCGTCCGGGTGGTCAAAGTTGTACTCGGACGGATCCGTTCCCGCCGGCAGGTCCTTGTAGAACACGTCCATCGAGAGGAAGGTGCACCACGGCAGATCAAGCTCAGAAATGATGCGCTTGCACACCGAGGTCTTTCCGCACGCCGTACCTCCCGCGAGGCCGACCACAAACGGCGTCTGCAGCGCGCCATCTGCGTCGTACCACGGCGGCCGGCCACTGTAGAGGTGGTTGGTATCCAGCCCGCGCGCCAGTTGGTCGCGTGCCCGCCAGCCCCCGCCAGCCGACCAGCCCCCGCCAGCCGACCCCCCGACCAGCCGACCCCCCGACCAGCCGACCACCATACGCGAGTGATGAGCCGTATGCGCAAGTCGGGTATTTTGTTCAGGAGTACGGCATTAATTGATGTAGTGTATCGTGTGTCGACCACAATGATGATGTCCAATGATGTGTGTGAGTCAGTCGGCAGTCGGTGGTGTCCCATCCTGGACGAGTCGCAGAGGGCAAGGGGGGGGGGCATAGACAAGGAGCGTACGAAATAAAAGTGTTCGGAGCGACCTCAGAGTCAGAAGAGGCGTCTGTCAGATAGTCTGTCGCAATCACAGGGGACGTCATGCCCGTGGTCGTGTCTGTTGAGCCGTGGTGCGTGAGGTGTCGTCCCTTGCCCGTCATTGGTCACAACACGCCCAGCCGTCACGCTGCTGCCGAGTAGCTGCCCCCCCCCCCCCCCCTCCGTGCTTGAGTTCTGCTACTTTCCGCTCGAGATACCTACTCCGGCGCTAAGATCCACCGCCACGAGGCCAGATCGCATTCCGGCCTTGGCCTGCCGCAGGCCCATGCCGACCTCCTCGCGGGCAACAAGCTTGCGCTGTTCAGCCTCGAGGACTTGCAGCACATCCCACTCGGCGAGGATCGCCGTCTTCTCGCCAACGCTCAGTGCGCGCTCTGCACCCGAGCCAAGCATGGCGTCGACATCCTCGCAGCCGAGAATCCATCCGCCGGCATCCGAGTCGACCACGCCTTGCAGCCACGCGTCGCGGGTGACGACGTCGGCATCGATTTCGCACTCGTCGCGCTCGACGAGCTCAAACAGGTCGCGGAGCGCCCGCGAGTGGAAGAACCGCTCGACGACCGCGTCGTCAACCACTCGCAGCGCAAGCGACTGCTTCAGCATCTGCCGCCCAAAGATCTTGGCCTCCATCGTCCCGTCGCTCACCAGCCGGTAGATGAAGACCGGCCGCTGCTGGCCGAACCGATAGAGCCGGTACGTGGCCTGCAGATCGTGCGCAGGATTCCACGACACGTCGAATAGGATGGCCCGCGTCGCCGTCACCAGATTGATGCCCACGCATCCGGCCCGCGTTGAGATGAGATACACCCGCGGCCCGCGGCCCGCGCTGTTAAACGCCGCAATGTCCTCCTGTCGCTGACCAGCCCGCGTCGAGCCGTCGAGCCGGAACACCGCCAGCCCGGCAAACTCATTGTCGGCAAGATGCTTCTCAAACATGTCGAGGACCGCCAGCGACTGCGAAAACACCAGCGCGCGCTCGCCGCTTGCCCACACTCGTCGCAGCAGCTCCAGCGCCACCACCATCTTGCCCGAGACCTCGGCACGCCCTGCCACATACCCGGCCGCGCGATCCAAGATGCCCGCATACCAGTTCTCACGCTGCGGCCTCGCGCCGCGCCCATGCCGCACCGTGCTCTGCTTCTTCTCGCGCTCTCGCGCCGCCGACATCCTCGCTGCCGCCTCTGGCGCGCCCGCCAGATACGAAGTGAAGAGCGAGCGTGGCGGTTCGCGGGCGGCGGCGTCATCCTTCTGCTTGGCACCTGTGCCACGCCGCGGCTCGCCCAGCAGTACTGCGTCAAACAGATCATCCGGGATGAGCCCGCCAAGTGGAGGTACATCGAGCGCTCGGCCCGGACCGCACCCACCGTGGCTGCTGGCGTCATCGACTTCGCCCTCACCCCCGGCCACGAGCGTGTCCGGGTGGTTCCACACTTTGAGCAGCGTGTGGTAGGCCTTGAACAGCGAGCGCGTGCCCTCGGCGAGCCATCGCCGGTACAGTCGGCGCTGGACGTACGACAGCTTGCAGAAGAGAACGACATCGGTCTTGGGCGGGAGGGTGCTTGCCACTACCGAGTAGTCGCGGCGGTGGACAACCGGCGCGAGGATCGAGTGGAGGACGACGATGCGCTCGCGTGAGAGCTTGACCGCCTCCAGCGAAGAGTCCATGGTTGAGCCGGCAGCGATGGGCTTGCCAAACTTTGTCCGGAACGAGGCCACGTCGCCGAGGTAGCCCGCCGCCACATACTCAACCATGTGAAAGTACTCCTCAAGATTGTTTTGCAGCGGCGAGCCGGTGAGCACCACTCGACGCGGGGTGGAGATTGAGGCGAGCGCCTGCCACGTCGCCGTCGCCGCATTCTTGAGTCGGTGGCCCTCGTCGGCGATGACCAGATGCGGGAGCTCGCGGAGGAGCTCACGGGTCTGCTCTCTCCTCAGCAGCGAGACAACCTGCTCGTAGCCAATGACCGCCACGCCGCCGAGCCGCTTCCACGCCTTGAGCGCCTGCCGCCCGCCAACGCCGAGCGACTCGTCAGCGACAGTGACGGTGATCGAGTGCGGCGGGGCAAACCAGCGGGCAAACTCGGCCGCCCAGTTGCCGACGACGTTGACAGGTGCTACAACGAGGACGTGCGAGCCGACTCGAGCGCGGAGAAAGGCGGCAGCAAGGACGATGGCTTGCAGCGTCTTGCCGAGGCCCATGGTGTGGGCGAGGACTCCGCCCGAGCCACGAAGCACCACTGCCCGCCAGAGGAACCGGATGCCATCAACCTGATGCTCCTTGAGGAGTGCAAGGATGTGGCTCGGCGTGTGCGACTCGATCGGGAGCGGCGGCGGGCGCGGCGGAAGTCGCAGCGACGACAGCGGCTCGTCGTCCGAGTCCGACTCGCGGCTCTCGCTCGCTCTCCCGCCACGGCTGCCCAGCAGCGGACGAGAAGGCGACGAGGTGACTGGGGAGACAACCGCAAGAGGCGACGGCGGAGAGTACAGACTGTGGTGTCTCTTTGGTGTCTCTGTTGACAACGAGCTGCTGCTACGCAAGTGGTTGGTGGCTGGCGCTCCGGGCGACGGCGTCCGTCGCCGCTTGCCCATGTTGGTCGAAAAAGGTCGTGGAGTGGTGCCACTCGCTTCCGCTGCCACCTGCCGCGGCTGCCAACCGCTGGCCGATCTCGCTGATGGCTGACTCTGATCGGGCCGCCGCTTTACGGCTCGCCGCTCCAGTTGTCATAGATGGCCGCGAGCCGCGAGCTTGCGTGGGGAGCTCGGCTTTGGATGCGGTAGTCTGGCGGTAGTGGGAGAAAGTCGCTGCACCTCGCTCAACATCAATCATCTCTCGTTCAAGTAATCGTTGACGCAGTCACAGACACAGAGACACAGACACCCCTCCCTGAGCCCCACCCCAACCATGGCGGACGTCAGCGACAAGTTCTCGGTAGTGCCGAGCGCTGACGGGATTGCTCACCTGTATGTGGACATGATGTCGCAGCCGTCGCGTGCACTGGTGCTGTTCTGCAAGGCAGCAGGAGTTCCGCATGAGCTCCACATTGTGCACATTGCTCGCGGCGAGCACAAGTCGCCGAGCTACGCCAAGCACATCAACGCCAACAAGAAGGTGCCCGCAGCAGTCATCGATGGCGTCCGCATGGCCGAGTCACACACCATTCTGCGGTTTATCGCAGAGCACTTTGCCCTGCCGCTCAGCTGGTATCCCTACTCGCAGCCCATTCCTCGGGTGGCCATCGATGAGTACCTCGACTGGCACCACACCAACCTCCGTCCGGGCTGCGCGCACTTTTTCCGTGCTGCCTTTCTCCTTCCCAAGCTCCAGAACCGGGCCGTTGATCTCGATGAGGTTGCAACAACTCGGAAGGCTATGGAGGTGGCTGTCTACAAGCTCAACAAGATCTTTCTCAAGGGGCCGGGTGCTACTTACCTCTGCGGCCGCTACATGCCCTCCATCGCAGACCTCTCCGCCTTTTGCGAGCTGACTCAGCTCGAGATCCTCGGCTCCGACTTTGACGCCATCATTGCCGACAAGCCCGAGCTCGTTGCCTGGATCGCCCGCATGAAGAAGCTCCCGGGCTACGACGACGTCCACACTGTGTTCAACAAGGTCAAGGCCGCAAACTCGCGCCCCAACAAGCTGTAAAGCCCGAGACGCCCGCGAGATAGTCAGTAAACTGCCTGACTCTTTTCTCGTGCCTGATGGAGCGGCGACGCGAGGCTGGCCACAAGGCTGTGGAGCAGGTCACAGCCAAAACTCCCACCACTGGCGCGGGAGATGGGCGGCGACGCCATCGGTGACGACAGCGACCGACTTGTCGTAGCCAAAGTGGGCCTTGTACTTGCCATCAGGTCCGACGAGAAAGATGAAGATCGAGTGATCGATGAGATAATCATCATCATCGTCGCCCTCTGCTGACGGGACCGGGTAAGAGAAGACCTTGTACGCCTTGGCGGCGGCTTCCGTCTGCTCGGGCGAGCCTGTGAGGCCGCGGATGGCGGGATCAAAGCCAGCCAGATACTTGCCGATTGCCTGAGGAGTATCCCGCTTGGGATCGATGGTGATGAAGAGCGGGACAATGGCATCGCCCCACGACGACTTCCTCCTCCGCAGTTCGGCCAGGACCGAGGACATCTTGTGCATCTCTGTGGGGCAGATGTCGGGACAGTGTGTGAATCCAAAGTAGATGAGCAGATACTTGCCGAGCAAGTCATCCGACTTGACTACTTCTCCATCTGTGTCCATCAGCTCAAACTCGCCTCCAAGATCAGCTTCGCCCACAATGGTCTCCGTCTTCTCCATCCGATGCCTCTCATAGGCATACAAGCCCACAACACCACTTCCCAGCGCAAGCGAAGCCATCACAGCACGCGCATAGTTGGCTCGGAACATCCTCTCTCTCTTCTGTTCCTCCTTTGCGTCGAGTGTGACTCTGAATGCTTCAACCCGTCTTCGTGCCGTCCACTGACGCGTTGCTGCTGTCGAGTCGTCGTCCCATCACCGCCGTGCCCGTCCCGCCCTGTCATCCCCCCCCTCCACACACTTTGCCATTACGGTCATCTGACACCACGCTAAGTTGGAGAGGAAAGTGGATAATGTTGCTGTTGAGTGGGACTTGAGATATCCCTGTTTCTGCTTCATCACGGCCACGGCGCGGGCCACTCTTCCCATCGCCATCGCCAACCATCGCCATCGCCAACCATCGCCATCGCCAACCATTGCCATCGCCAACCCTCGCCATCGCCAACCGCTGCCGTCGCCAACCGTTGCCGTCGCCAACCATCGCCATCGCGAACCCTCGCCGTCGCCAACCATCGCCATCGCCAACCGCTGCCGTCGCCAACCGTTGCCGTCGCCAACCATCGCCATCGCGAACCCTCGCCGTCGCCAACCATCGCCGTCGCCAACCATCGCCATCGCCAACCGTTGCCATCGCCAACCATTGCCATCGCCAACCATCGCCGTCGCCAACCATCGCCGTCGCCAACCATCGCTCCAAAGCCCTCATCGCCTCCCACTCGGCCTCCCATCTGAGACTATGGACTCCATGCACCAATCAGCAATACTCATGCTATGTCATGATGGCTCCAACCCACGCGAGCCCACGACTCCACCCATCGCCACCCATCGTGGCCGTGACAGATGGATTGTCGTCCAGCTGACGGACGACGTCACCGTCGTCGAGTGTCGCGCGTCGAGCGCAGCCGACGTCGAGCGCAGCCAAGCTTGGCCGGCCACACGTGACTACCATGCCAGCTGAGCTCTCGACCGAGTTCACCCTCCCTACCACACTTGGCACCTTTCAAAAGTACCTTCACTCTGGTGTAGACTCGTTATGTGGTGACCTTGGGTGGTGGATGCTCGACAAGTACGCCCTCGTTGACGGCTGTGCTGCCTGGGAAGACCTTCCTCCCGAACAACGACACGGCAACAATGATGGAGGCAACAATGATGGCCATCGTAGCAGTTCTGATCAACCTGGTGCGTATGGTGATCAGCTTGTTCGTCGTCGTCGGCAGGTTGAGTTTGATACTTCGAATGTGCCGTACTTGCTCTCGTCTTATGTCGATCCCATCACATCGCTGACCGAGGTGCGCTCGGCGCGGATGGTTGGCCCAGGCGTGTTGCGGATCGATACTGTGCTGGACATTCCTCCCGAGTCCAAGCTTGCTGGCGCAGTCGAGTGCTCCATGGAGCTGGTGGCGACTCAGACGGGCGATGAGCAGCTGCATGTTACTGTCGCGGTCCACGTCACCATCAACGCCTCGTACCTTGTCCGTACATCGGTAGAGTCGCTCATCTCATCGGCTGGCGCAGCTGGCTTCAACCGATGGGCCGCTCGTGCGGTCAACGACTTTCACTCGTACCTCGCCGAAGCGCGCCTGCGCGCGCCCGACACCCCGACTTTGCCGCCGGCTGTCTCTGAAGACGACGACCTCGGCTCGGACGAGTTCTACGACACCTTTGAGACTGCTCCACTAGGCGTCGAACTGGCAAGCCTTGCCGAGCGCATCGAGGATGTTCTCCGCGGCATCCACGCCATCGAGTCGCGCGTCTCCTCGCTCGAGTCGGCCGTCTCGGCCGTCTCAGCCGCTCCAACCGCCCCCACCCACCCACCACCGAGCACGTCGTGGCTGGCTGTCTTTGTCATGACCGCCTCCCTCGCTGCCCTCATCATGCACTCGATCCGTGCTCGTCCGGTCTAGCCCATCACCACCGGCAAACCAAACCACAGCAACGCCATTCCTTCATTTCCTTCGCAAGGGCACCACACCTGTGCCATTCCTTCTATTCCTTCCCACACGCAACCATCACCTCCACCTCACCCCCCTCCCCCCCCCCCCCCCCCGCCACTGCAGTCTCGCTGGTGTCTATCCGTGGTCGAGCCGAGGCGCAGTGTGTTGATTTGCGGCTCTCGTTTGTGTGTGAGGTGCTTGCAGCAGACTCATTTGTGTCCATTCCGCTGCTCGAGTCTGGTGCAACACTGCTCGATTGGGAGGCAAAGTACTCTGCGTCGCTTTTTGCTGACGGAGGCGATTCAAGCTCGGATGTGGAGGGTAAGAGCGGCGGTGGTGGTGCCAGCGACGGCGAGGTCAGCGATCGGGCGCCGTCGTTCTCGCTTGCCGGCAGCTCGTACAACCTCATTGCTCGCCCAGGTGCGTCTGGCCGCTACGTCGTCGACGTCCACGCCCAGATCGGCTACGCCAACCAGCACGCCAACTCGGTTGCCGTGCAGATTCCTCTGGCCACCCGCGGCGAGCTCGAGTTCACTGTCCCGCGCCCGGACGTCATTGTCTCGTGTGAAAAGGTGCTTGTGGGGACGACGACCAAGACTGAGTCATCGACTACGCTCCACGCCTCCATTCCGCCGCTCGGCCTGGCCTCGCACCGTGCGCTCACCATCCAGTGGCAGCTCGATGACGGCCCACGCAAGGCTGCCGCCGCGGCCCGTGCCAAGGCCAAGGCCGAGGCCCGCGCCAAGGCCGAGGCCGCTGCCAAGGCCGCCCTCACTGTCGACGTTGCTGCGTCGAGCGGCGGGCCCGACTCCAACGCTGCCAAGGCTGCCCAAGAGGAGCCGGTCGTTGTCCTCACCCAGCACGTCAGCATTGGCATCGGCGAGGGTGTGCTCTCGATTGTGGGTAGGTTCTCGTACTCGCTCGTCAACGCACTCCGCGACACCTTTGACATCAAGCTTCCGGACGGCATCCGCATCCTGGACGTGTCGGACGTTGCGTCGTCGCCGATCATCAAGTCGTGGGAGGTGCTCTCGGCCGAAGAGGCACTTGCGTCGGGCGTGGTGCCGTCGTCGGGCGTGACGCTGGAGAAGCTACTCGGCAAGTCGGCGGACGCGCTAGGCGTCCGCGTCCTTCGTATTCGCACCCAGTATGCGCTCGAAGCCTCGTTTGCGTTTGCGCTCCTCGCCGAGATCGAGCTCGGCGCCACGTCGGCGGATCTCGACTGCCCGGCTTTCCGCGCTGTCGGTGTCTCGCGCGAAAAGGGCTTTATTGGCGCCGGGCCCAAGACCAATGTCGAGCTCGAGGAGGTCTCGCGCCGCGGCACCGGCTTCTCGCGCATCGATGTCAAGGAGCTCTCTGCTCCGGTCCGCGCCGACAGTGTCCGCCACGTCCTTGCCTACAAGTTCCTGCACTCGGGCTACAAGCTCGAGCTGCGGGTGACCAAGCACGCCGACGTCGCTGTCCTTGTTGCCGCTGTCGACGCGGCCGTCTACGACGTCATTGTCACGCCCGAGGGCAAGCACGTGGTCCAGGCCAAGATGCGCATCCGCAACACCGAGCGCCAGTTCCTCCGAGTCCACCTCCCACCTGGCGCCACTGTCTGGTCGACCTCGGTGGCGTACACGCCCATCAAGCCGGCGATCGACGACAGCGGCCTGCTCATGATCCCGCTAGCCAATGCGTCTGACACGTCCTTCGACGTCATCGTTACCTACGTCACCATTGTCCCTACCGCCGCCCTTGTCGGCAGCGGTACTATCGACGTCGTGCTCCCAGTCCTCGACCTGGCCATCTCGCACGTCTTTGTCCAGCTTCAGCTTCCGACCCACGAGCACAAGTTTGAGGCCGTGTCCGGCGCTGCTTTTCGTTGCGTCGACAGGTTCTCTGCCCAGCCGCCGGCCTTTTCTCCGCCGCATCGTGCGCCAGTCCAGTCACGTGCGCCCTCGCGCCCGGTCCGCCGCCAGCGCCCGGCCGCCTCTAACCGTCTCGCCATGCGCCGCCGCTCCATCTCGTGCCTCGAGTCGTCGGCCTCATCGATGGACTCGATGTCCGAGGAGTTTGACGAAGACGACGACGAGGACGACGTCTGCGACTTTGACTCGGCCGACCACGCGGTCAAGGGAAAGGACGCGGTGACCGTAACCGCTACCGGGGCCGGGGCGTCTTCTACCGGCGCCATTCCGGTCGAGATCCATCTCCCGCGCATCGATAACTCGGTAGTCGAGACCTTCCGCTTTGAGCGCCTCCTCCTCTCGGCGTCCGAGGCGCTGCCGCCGGCCTCGATCTCGTTTACTCGCAAGTAGTTAGTTCCTCGCTACGGTCACAGAGTCATTGAATGCTTGGTGTGGCTTGAGAGGAGTGTCTTTCATTGCCAGCCAGCCGCTACGGCTCGCAGAACGCCTTGGGCACGTGGTACATGTCGAGCACGCCGCCCGAGTTGGTTTGCAGCCAGGTGAAGAGCTCGTTGAGGACCATCTGCTCGACGCTTGGCTCCGAGGAGAGCGCATCTTGCAAGGCAGCGCGCTCGGCATCGCCGATGACACCCGCCCGCGCGGTCCAGGTCTCCAGCTTGTCCTCGACAGCAGCGAGCAGGCTGGGGTCGCTCATCAGCGCGTCCATGAGCGAGCCGCGGAGAGAAGCGAACCGGTCGTGGTACACCGCTGTCATCCACGTCGACCGGAGGTGGGCGAGCAGGTCGCGCTTGGCCTCGCTGCTTTCCAGCTGCAGGTACGACGCTGGCAAGCCGTGGAGCTGCAGCAAGTTGCAGGCCTCGACCGGTTTGCTTCCGACGTAGGTGAGCGAGGCGATGAGGCCGTGGGCGTCGATTTGGAGCGCGAGGTACCCGTTGTCCTCGCTCCGGGTCGAAATCTCGCGGCCGTAGTCCTCGTGCCGCGACGCGGTGGCGTACGGGATCCGCCGGCCTGGGTTGGCAAAGTGAAAGTAGTACGTGGGAGTTGACGGGTGCGAGATGAGCGGCATGCCGACCGCCATCGGCTGCTCGAATCGCGGCAGCTCGAGCGGAGCTAGCTCAACAAGCGGGCCCGGGTCCAGCGGATCGAGGTCTTCCTTGACGGCTGCCGCGAGGTGGTGGCCAATCTCCAGCGAGTTGTACTCGGCCATCTTGAGGCTGGTGTAGTACCGGTTGGAGAACTTGGTGAGCGGGCCAGCGCCGAGAATGGCAGGGTCGATGGTCTTGAACTCGCCGTCGACCACTAGCCCGCCGTCGTAGACGAGGCAGCAGCCGTTAATGGCGTGGAACATGTCGACGTCGACCTGCGCCCCGCAAGCCACCACCAGCATCGAGCACGGAAGCCGAATGTGGTCGGCCTCGTCGGCGCCTGCCTCGCCCAACCCAGTACCACTCCGCGAGCCGGACCAGGTCCCACTCTTGCTGGCCAGCGCAGCTGCATTCGCCTCCTCTTCTTCGGCGAGGATGACAGCGAGGAGGGTTCCGGCCCGGTGCTCGTAGTTGATGACAACCAGGTCACGGACAAGCTTGACGCCGAGTGCGGCGACGCCCGACGCCACCGCGTCGTCAACCACAAACTCGTTGAAGCACGAGGTGCGGGTGGCCTCGGGTCCGCTCTCCGGCGGGACGAGGAACGTGATGAGCTCCGGCGAGACGCCTGCGGCAAGGAGGCCAAAGACGGCGGCGTGAGCATCGAGCGATGCGCCGTAGACCACAACTCGCTCGCCGGTGGCGACGACGTGCGACTCGGCGTAGGCGACGATGCCTGCGACGTCGGTCTCGCCGTTGAGGGTAAACACGCCCTCGAGGATCTCGCCGGTCACGCCCACGTCGCCGACGTCGTCCTGGACCAGCATCGGCGCCGCGTACTGTTGTCCGGTGGTGAGGGCGAGCTTTTCGTACGGGAGGACCGAGCCGTCAGAGAGCATGACCGCCCGCAGCTCACGGTCGATCATCATGACCTTGGTGTGAAGGACGTTGACCGAGGCACCGATGGCCAACTGCGAGAGGACCCGCGCCGTGTAGTTGAGGTTGTTCGGAATGAAGCAGCGCTCGACGGCACTCGCCCTCGTCGGGAGGCCACCCGGTGAGACCAACGTGATGTTGCTAAAGTGGATGTACGGGAGGAGGACGAGGCTCTCGAGGACCGAGAGGCCGGTGTCGGAGGCGCCGACGACGACGACCCGTGCGTTGGCCACAACCTTGGGCTCCCAACGGAGCTTGGGCGCAAAGGTCCACAGGCCAAACGCAGTGTTGGCGTCGACGATGCCGGCCGGCTCGCCGTTGACCTCGACAAATGGGTGCGGCAGTCGGACATCGTTGTGAGAGTCGTCGTCGGCGTCGTCGACGAGCGAGCTCCCGCCCTGCTCCTTCCGCGGCTTGTACTTGAGCGCGTTGGCCTCGGCGCCTGGCGGGAAGTGGATGAGTCGGCGCGGACGGACCTGGATCATGACCTGCAGCAGCGGCGGAATGGGTGAAAAGCCAAAGACCTTGTAGTAGAGAGCCGAGGTGCCGGCGACGCGAGCAAGCTCGTTGAGGAGGAGCGAGCCGTGCTGGTCGAACATCGGGTTGACGACGGCCTCGGCAAGGTGACTGTGGGCGCGGGTCGCCCGCTCGTTGAGCGCGAGCACCGAGTCCACCTCGTACGCCGCCGACAGCGAGTCGATGTCCAGCTCGGAGGAGAGGACAAAGAGGCCGACGACTTGGGCCGAGGCCTCGGCCACGTACACTCGTGACGTGATCGATGAGAAGACCGAGGCCTGTAGCCGTTCCTGGGCCTCCAGCCGCATGACGTCGTCGTAGAGCGACTGGATCTCGGCCTCGCGCTGGAGGCCGTCGAGCAGGCGCGCGATCTGGACTGCGTCGCTGGGTGCAGCGCGGCGGACGCCGAGCTTGGGAGAGAGCGCGTCGCGGTGGAGGATGTACAACATGTGAGGAAAGGTCGAGATGGACTTGGGCTTGACCGTGCCAAAGGCGCGGAGGAGCGGGAACTCGGCGACCTCGTGCGGGAGCGTGAGGATGCAGTACTCGCGATCCGGGAAGAGCTCAAAGGCAAGCGGAAGAAAGTCAACCGACCGCGACTCGTACCGGCTGTCGAGACAGAAGAGCGAGATGGCAAAGGCGTTGAGGACGACGGCGCCGCCGGCGTCGCTGACCATGGAGCTCGCGCTCCCGCTCCGCGACTGGACCGATGAGTACCCGGCCGACGAGGCTGAGCTCGAGGTAGAGTTGGCGGTCGACGGGCGGGAGTGGTCGCCGCTGTCGTCTGCTCGGTCGTCGGCGGCGGTCTCGTCGACCGCGATGCCGAGCTTCTGAAAGTCGACGTCCTCGTCGATGGGCACAGCAATGTGGGAGAAGCTGTCAGCGACCGAGGCCTCGGTCGGGAGCGCGTCGCCGCCAGCAGCGGCGGCAGCAGCGGCGGCCACTTGTTCGGGATGAAGCGGGAAGCCGGCTTCGGGCCTCAGGAGCTCCGAGTACGGCTCGAGCTCAAAGCACTCTTGCAGGAGAGTGACGTCGATGTCGGCGACGAGCGCCATGAGACCAACAGCGTAGCCGTCGACCTCGGAAACAATGACCCGGTTGGCAGCGTCTTGGTTCTCGATGAGATCCGAGAGGAAGAACTCACCGTAGCGCGAGGAGAGCAGCTCCGACTGGGCGTCAAAAATCGGGGCGAGGTCGTCGTTGTCCTCCACCGCAGCCGGCCGCATCGTCAGCTTGGGCACGTACCCGGCCCGCTCAACGTATGTCAACGGAACCTGCTCGCCAACCGGGGTAGTCGGCTGGAGGGTGCTGGCAAAGGCGGCAGCCAGCTCCGGCATTGCATTCAGCGAGGCTGCGGGATTGATAGCCGACGGCACAGGCAGCAGCACGGCATCGACCTGAACCATGGTAGCGAATCCCGACTCGAGCACCGCCTGCAGCGCGGCGGCACCGGCCTCGGCCGACAGCGCCGGTGCACGGGCGTAGCACGCCAGCCACGCCGAGTTGCACGGCGTGAGCTCGCTATGTGTCCACCCGGACGACTCGGTGGTCAGCGGCGAGAGATCAGCGCCAGAAGCCGCGGGTGTGGCGATGGAAGAGATGGGAGATGCCGGCGAGGTAGGCGAGGTAGGCGCAGGGGGGGAAGCAGACGAAGTAGACGAGGCAGACGAGGTGGAAGTGGCGGCGACGAGCGGAGCGGTATCAAAGTTTTGAGCCAGCCACTCTGGCCAAACAAGGGGATTGATGACGGATTCGAGATGGGTGAAGAGCGGAGCACTGGCAAAGGCAGCAAAGGCCACCAGTTCGCCCGACTCCAACTGAGCCACAACCGTCAGTGTCGTGTTCTCCACCAGAGCACCAGCCGAAGTCACATCGAACAGCGCCTTGTTGCCTTCAGGCTGAGCGTCCAGCAGTTGTTGCAGGCCAGCCACATGGCTCTCCTCTGCCCGGACGAGGGTCAGCATACGGCCAGATAGGGAGCGAGGTGGTGGTAGCGGTGGTGGTAGCGGTGGTGGTGGTGGTGGTGGTGGTGGTGGTGGTGGTGGTGGTAGGGTGTGGTAGGGTGCCGTGGTGAGTGTGGAGAGGTGTGGAGTGGTCGTGGTCGTTGGTCGTACGCTCGTCGGTGCGTCGGTTGGCGCCGTCCTGCTGTTGGTGGCTGACACGGGCTGGACCAGGTGATGTGGGGAGGGCGGGGCGGGGAGGGCGGGGGTATGGGAGGAAGGGGGTAAGGGAGGGGGTAAGGGAGGGAGATGTGAGCGATTTGGGCGATGTGGGCGATGTGGGCGATGTGGGCGATGTGGGCGATGTGGGCGATGTGGGCGATGCGAGCTAGGTGCGGCAAGGAGGGGGCGGTGGGCACGGCCCGGGCTCATCATGATGACCGCCTACTTCTACATATACTCAATCCAGCCACATCGCAGTATTCTCCTTCGACCCATCTATGATAAATGCAAAGAACATCCGTCCGTTCCCCCAACACCCCTCATCGCTCATGCCAACGCAGTCGGTGGCTTGTCGTGCGGCGTGTGGGGGGAAAAGGTGCCGTTGCGGGTCATTGGCGCCCGACGACGACGATGACAACGGGGAGAGGTAGCTGAGGGGGGGGGGGATAGGGATTGGAAGAGACAGACTCAACGCAGCAGGATGTCCAACTACAACACATCAGGGAGGAACAAGACGCTTGTGGGGACGTGGTTTGAGGAGCGAGCATGGGAGGGAGCGCGTAGTCATGCCACAGCAAGGAGCGGCCTGGACGGAGGAGGACGGCGAGTCAAGGGAAGGGTACCGGCAAACTATCCTGGAGCACTTGAGCATGCAGCAGCACACACTGGGACTTTTAGAGCAGATGCATCAGGATTGTCACTGCCGCATGCTGCCGAGAACAATCTCATCTCATCTTCTCGTATTGCCTATGCCCCTCCTCCGCTGCATACCCGTCCTGTGGCCGTCAACGGTCGGCGATCTGCTCGTCGCAAGGCCGAACTCTGGGCTGCTGCACAGGCCGTGGTCGAGGCAGAGGCAAAGGCGCTAGAAGAGGCTGATGTCGAGCCGTGGGAGTCGACGTATCGGGCAGAGCTTGCCGACAACGTGCCCGAGCCGCTCGACATCGATGAAGCCGTGCTGGGCACGCATGCTCGCAAGGACGACGTCATCGCTGGCTCGTATGCCGAGCTTGTCCACGACGTCCCGCTCTCGGTCTGGCGCGACCGGCTCGGCCGTGAGCAGCTGGGCACCGCCACCACTGGCGCTAACGCCTTTGGCCGTAACGCCGGCTTTTCGCAGCCCATCCACGAGTACGACCGCGCGTACACAAAGATCGAAGAGGGCGCGCCGCCGCCGTCAACCGCCTCGGCGTCCAACCCGATCAAGTACGCGGCATGAAGCCAGACTACGAACACCCCACACCTACACACCGCCCACACATCGCATCACACTACCTCTGACAATGCTTATCATAACTGCACCACTAAAAACCAACCCAACCAGCCAGCCACCCAGCTGCGACCGACCGGTCACCCAGCTGGCGACCGACCGACCGACCGCGTTGCGTGCCAGCCACCAGCCGCCCGGACCCCCCCCCCCCCCCGCCACCAACCCACTACAGCGGCGGCACTGGCACCAGGTTCACCCCTCTGCACTCCACCCCACGCACGCCGACGGCCACCTTCCCTCCCTCTCTCCCTCCCCTCCCCCCCTCCCCCCTCCTCCCTTTCCTCCAAACTCACTCCTTTTTCGCTGGCATACCGCTACCTTAGGTGATGTGCCCATGTCGTGTGTGGACGCATTCATGCTCAAGGTGCTGGAGATGGAGGCTGATGAGGCTGTTGTTCCTGTCTTTGAACTCTCTGGAGTCTCTTATCTCTTTGTCTCGCTCTCTTCGCTCTACCTCTTGGCTGTGACGAGGAAGAACTCCAACGCTGCCATGATCATGACCTTCCTCCATCGCTTTGCCAACGTCCTCACCGAGTACTTCAACGAGGTCGAGGAGGAGTCGATCCGGGACAACTTTGTGGTCACGTACGAGCTGCTTGACGAAGTCATGGACTTTGGTCTCCCGCAGACGACCGACTCCAACATCCTCAAGGAGTACATCTTTGAGGAGGGTCACAAGCTGAGCAAGAAGGGCAAGGCTGCGTCGTCCAAGCAGGTCACCGTGCCCATGACCGTCACCAACGCCGTCTCGTGGCGATCGGAGGGCATTGTCTACCGGCGCAACGAGGTGTTCCTTGATGTCGTCGAGTCGCTCAACCTCCTTGTCTCGGCCACCGGCACGGTCCTCCGCTCGGAGATTGTGGGCTCGGTCCAGATGCGGACGTATCTCTCGGGCATGCCTGAGCTCCGGCTCGGCCTCAACGACCGCACCCTGTACGAGGCTGTCGGCGCCGGCGCCTCGCGCAAGTCGGTCGAGATGGAGGACATCAAGTTCCACCAGTGTGTCCGCCTCTCGCGCTTTGAGCGCGACCGCACGATCTCGTTCATCCCGCCCGACGGCGAGTTTGAGCTCATGTCGTACCGCATGCAGACCTCGGCCAAGCCGCTCATCTGGATCACTCCCATCGTCGAACGCCACAAGGGCTCGCGCGTCGAGTACATGATCAAGGTCACCCCGCAGTTCAAGGCCCGCTCCATGGCCAACAACGTCGTCATCCGCATCCCGGTCCCCGCAGACTCGGACTCGCCCAAGATCAAGACCTCCAACGGCTCGGCAAAGTACGCCCCGCAGGACGACATGATCGTGTGGACCATCAAGCAGCTCCGCGCCACCGACGGCGAGTGCTTCCTCCGCGCTCACTTTGGCCTTTCCTCGCTCGCCTCGGAGGAGTCGGACGCAAAGCCGCCCATCCAGCTGGAGTTTGAGATTCCGTTCCAGACCCTCTCGGGCGTCGTCGTCCGCTACATGAAGGTCCTCGAGGCCTCGGCCGGCTATCAGGCCCTCCCCTGGGTCCGCTACCTTACCCGGAGCGGCTCAGTCGAGTTCCGTACCAAGTAAATGCGTCGCAGGACTCGGTGGTGAGCGAACGGGCGATGTACCGCTAGCTTGGCGAGGCGAGCTCAAATTCGGCGATCGCCATGTTTAGATTTCGACAAGCCCTTTTGTGCTGCTCAGTCTCAACCGTCAGCCCTTCTCATCCACATCATCTCCTTCTGCGTCCCCACACCAGCCCATGCAGCCGACTGGATTGTCACCAACCATCCCCATCGCTACACTACGAGCTTCCTCAGCAGGTGTGAATCAGCCGTAGCGCAGGAAGACCCCCCCCAAAAAAACACAGTGCAGCAACAAGTCACGCGGGCGCACTCATTCGGCTCAGGCCTTCTTTCGAGTGACAGAGGCGAGCGGCGCGGGCGGGCGCGGGGGCGGGGGAGTACGGCAACACCTCTCGCGCGAAAAGTTGACCTCTACCGACGATGAGGTTGACAGGGGAGGTTGCCCTTGTTGGACTTGTGGCGCTCATGGTGTGCGGTCTGTGTGGGGAGGCGGGCGCGACGAGCTTGAGCCGTATGACAAGCTACGGACCGGTGACGGGTGCAGTGTCCAAGGCGTATCCGTCGGTCATTGCCTGGCAGGGCATTCCATTTGCTGCGCCTCCTACAGGCGATCTTCGATTCAAGCCACCGCAGGCACCCAAGTCATGGACGGAGCCTTTGATGACGACCGATTCTGGACCTGGCTGCCCGATGTATGTCGAGCCTGTGCTGAAGGGAACCGAGGACTGCCTGTATCTCGATGTCTACGCGCCGATCAACGTCACGGCGGATACCCAGGTTATGGTCTTCATCCATGGCGGCGGGTACGTCATTGGCAACGACTACCACAAAGGGCTGTACGATGGCGCGCACCTGGCGGCCAAGCACGGCGTCATTGTGGTGGCGATGAACTACCGGCTCTCGGTGCTTGGCTTTCTCGCGCTCGACGCGCTCAAGGTCGAGGCCGGCGGTACGACCGGCAATTACGGGCTCCAGGACCAGCAGCTTGCACTCAAGTGGGTGGCAAGCAACATTGCGGCGTTTGGCGGCGATCCGGACTCTGTGCTGCTGTTTGGCGAGTCGGCGGGCGCCTTTTCGCTCTGCTGGCACCTTGTCTCGCCAGGCTCCAAGGGCCTGTTTGCGGCGGTGCTCTTTGAGTCGGGCAACTGCGACTCGCCGTCGTTCTTTCGGCCGTACGAGTACGCGACCAACTTTTCGGCGGGCTACGCGGCACATGTCGGGTGCGATCCGGATGCACTCTCCGAGGCGGAGCTGCTGGGCTGCCTCCGTGCGCTGCCTTTACCCAAGCTTATCGACGGCGGAGTGCTCCTTGCTGGTGGCAGCGGCGGCAGCGTTGGACGGTTCCCGCCGGATGTGTTCTGGCCCAAGCTCGCGCCGATCATGCCGTGGGGCATTGCCATCGACGGCTCGCCAGCTGGACTGACAGGCGTGCCTTCTAAGCTCATTGCGGCCGGCAAGGGGATGTCGAACGTGCCGTTGCTTATGGGCACAAACCGCAACGAGGGCTCAATCTTTCTGCCTATGATGATTGCGATGGTGCCCGGCATTGACGTGCTCCCGCTATCGGAGCGGACGGCGCTCCTTGTCCTCTCGCACTTTTTCAACAGCTCAGTGGTTGCTCAAGCGCGCGAGCTCTACCCGCGGTACGCGTACAAGTCGTGGGACAAGATGGCAAGCGCGCTGCTGACCGACTACTTTTTCGTCTGCTCCGCGCGGCGCATGCTCCGCGCCTTTGGCGCAGCTTACCCGGGCACGCCGCGGTACACGTACCGCTACGTGTACAAGACCGACTCGCCGCTGTACCCAGTCTTTGGCGACTACCACTCATCCGAGCTCAAGTTTGTGTTTGGCAACCCGGTCCACAACATTCCCTTTGACAAGACCGACTGGACCATGTCCGACATCTTTGGCTGGTACTGGACTAACTACGCCCGTGCCCACGCGCCTTCGGGCGCATCGCCCTCGTCTGTGGACCCGTATCCGTTCTGGCCGCAGTGGAACGAGACTGCCCAGATCACCCAGCTCCTCGACGTCCCTGTCGGCCAGGAGGCCTTCCTCGACGACGTCGTCTGCGACTTTTGGGATCGGGTCAAGGTCGACTACAGCAGCTGAACGTGGAGGAGAGCCAAGTTAAACTCTTCCCAAGTTCTGACGCGTGCGTGCATGCCGCCCGCCAGCAGGCAACTGGGCTGGGCGTCAGTCGCCATTCGGCCGAGCGGCGGACGCGAATCGACCGCCACCCCACCCCAGCCCCCCCCCCCCCCCACCCCCCCCACCCCCAGCCCCCCCCCCCACCCTCCCACCCCCGTGCTCACCATGGTGGCATGGCCGCTCATTCTCATCATCATTGCCATGCTTGCAGGGCTACTTGTCGTGTGCACGTACATGCTCGCGCACTACCACCATCCTGACGACGCCAACACAGCATGGTTCCCCAAGGCGGTGGTCGTTCTCGGCTTCTCTGCAGCAGCACTCTCTGTCCTCCTCCTCCCTCTGGACGTAGCTAATCGTAACTCTGGCTCTACCCTCGACATGCTCCTCTTTGTCTACATTGTCTATCCTTTGGTGGCTTTCCTCGCTCTCGTCGTCATTCCCTTTGCTATGTTTTACTACGAAGCTGAAGAGGCCGAGAACAACTCAAAGTCGAAGCAGCTGTACTCGGCACTCTGCTACACCTTCTGGACAGTCATTGTCTTTGCTGGCATTGTGGGCATTCTCTATGGCTTGATTGGAAAGGCTGAAATTCCTGTTCAAGCCCTCACCGCTCGTCTACAGCCTGGCGATGCGCCGCTCAACACCCCGTGCTCGGGCTGTACCTCGACAAAGGTTGATCTGGTCATCCACGTCTCGCTTCTTGTCTATCTGGTTGGTGCCCTATCGTTTGTCGGCATTGTGCTCTTTGTTTGCTTTGGCGGCGTCGGCATGATCGCGCTCCCGGTCGACCTTGTGCGCGACTTTGTCGACCGGCCGAGGCGGATCCCGCTCGACGTCCTCGCCCACCGCAAGGTGGAGATCGGGGTGCAGGCGTCGCGGCTGCTTGCCGAGGGCGAGGAGCTGGCGCGGCGGACGCGCGAGAAGGGTGGGAAGCGCAACCGCAAGGACCGCAAGGCGTATGCCAAGTTTGAGAAGAAGGTGTACCTGCTGGAGAAGAACTTTAAGAAGAACGTGGTGGCCCACTCGCGCGCCAACACCCGGCACCCGTGGTGGTACGTCTTTGACCTTGTTCTTGGCATCTTCTGCGGCCTAGCCTCGTTCCTCTGGGTCCTGCACATCATTCTGTACATGATGGTCGACCCGCCGGCGTCGCCGTTCCTCAACGACATGTTCATCGACCTCGACAAGGCCTTCCCGCTCTTTGGCACCTCGGCCTATGCCCTCTTCACCCTCTTTCTACTCTGGGCGGTGATCAAGGGCAATGTCAAGGTCGGCCTCCGCATTGCCTGGTTCACCATCCACCCGATGATTCCTGGCGAGACGCTCATGTCATCGCTCCTCTTCAACGCTGCCCTCATCCTTCTCTCCTCGCTCGCCGTCACCCAGTTTACCGCCGCCGCCTTTTTCTCCTACGCGCGCCTCACCGCCGTCTCCTCGGTCTTTGCCGTCCAAATCTCGCACCTCCGCGGCATCAAGCACGTTATCAACAACACCAAGTTCTTCCTTGTCATCATGATCGGCCTCACCTTTTTGTACTACGCCTGTTGCGGCACGAAGCGCAAGCTCAAGAAGGACGACGACGACGATGACTAGCGTTGTAAACTAGCTGTGGACCCCCCCCCCCCCCCCCCTCTGCGGCTTCTACGGAGCAGCCGTCCGCGACGCACAAGGCGATCGCATCTCTCCCTTGTGCTTCAATGTTACTGCGACTGGCCCTGCTCGTTAAAGGCATGGACAACGACATCAAAGGCACGGAGGAACTTGCTGGTGCAGTTGCGGATGCAGGTCGTCTCCGCCGCCGTTAGCCTGTTTCCAGGCTCGGGCACGCAGTAATCAAAGCAGGTCGACGACATGACGTTGAGCTGCATCTGGATCATGGCCGATGACGCCTGCTCCTGCATAAGATCCATGGCATCACCTCCGTTTCCACTGACAAAGTCCATCGCAAATAGTGTCAAAGTTGATGGTGGTGTGTGCGGTTCGGTCAGTCTGCTCGATGCGCTAGGGTATGCTCAAGTCTGCTCGGGTCTGCTCGGGTCTGCTCGGGGCTGCTCGGGTCTGCTCGTGAGTCGGACTGCTCCTGGCTCTCCGGTTGCTGCTCTGTGAACTTGGTGGATCGGCTCTTGCTGCTACTACGTCAAGAGGTAGTATGCAAAGGTCGAGTGTGGTGTCTGTGTCTGCTCTGAGCTCGAGTTCGAGGCTGTGAGACTCAATGCCGTCCACGGCTTCCAATCGGTTGCCTCGTGGCGCGTCACCGCCTGTGAAGCCCGTCTGTGAGGGGTGTTGGACAGAGTGCTGAATGGTCGGCTGCGCAGCCCATCGCAAAGGCCCCACTGAGTGGGTACCTTGCTAATCCGCACCACAGCAAGCCTAGCCAGAGATCAGCCGCTGCAAGCATATGCCCCTTCTCCCTCTCTCTCCTCTCTCTCCCCCCCCACCCCCTCCACCCCTCCACACTTACCCATTTTTTTTGCCCCCACCCCCCACCCCCCATCCGTTCCCGCAAGCGCGAGCTCTAACCGACGTCTCGCGCCGTGACCCCGGCCGGACGGGACGGACCCCCCTTCCCTACTTCACTACCTCCACCCCACCCTCCACCCCCCTTCCTGTGCCCGTGGATATGTCTACGTCCCCTCCGACTTCTCACGACGGGACGGAGAGTGGGACGCCCTCTGCGTCGCGCATGCTCCACTCGACCAACACGGGGCGGCCTGCGTCGTCGCGGAGACTGACCATGTCCGAGCTCGATCCCCATCCTCAACCGGTGAGCACCAGGCAGACTCGTCATGGAGGTCATGACCAGGACACCTCGTCCTCACACCAACATCAGCCGTCGCTTGCTGATCTTCATGCTGAAAAAGAGGACCTCGTTCAAGCCATTCATCAACTTATGGCTTCAGCATCGTCAAATGATGCCGCAACTCAGGCCGAGCTTGCTCTGCTCCGGGCACAGCTGTCGGCGCTCAACCCACCACCGCAGCTGGCGGCAGCCTCGCCGCAGCTCTCTCACTCACCGACGGCCCATCACTCGCTCATGGCCATGCGTGATCGAATGGCCCGGCTCGAGGCCGAGCGAAACGACCTTGCGTCGCAGCTTGGCGCCGCGCAGGCAACGCTCTCGTCGCGGACGCTCGAGGCCTCCGAGTGGGCCTCGCGGTACGAGGTGGCGACGCAAGGCTGGCGCGAGAAGATCAAGACGCTCGAGGGAGCTCTCTCCAATACCAACGCAGACACCGCGGGCCTCAAGGCTCAGCTGGCTCAGCTAACCGACGCCAACGCCCGACTCGAGGCCGAGCTGGCCGCTGCGCAAGCCGCCGTCGCCGCGCACTCGTCCGAGGCCCGGACCTCTGCTCGCACCGCCCGCGAGGCCTCACACTCGGCCACTGTGCTGCAAGCCGAGCTCGACGACGCGCGGTCTCACATCGAGACGCTCGCCACTCAGCTCCGCGAGGCCAACTCCAAATCGCGGTCGTCGTCGCGCATTCTCGAGCTCGTCCGCGCCACGCTCGCCGCCAACCCACGGGCTTCAGCCTATGCCATTACCGACGACACACTCATCCCACAAGCGCTTGCCTCGGTATTTGGTGACTATGACACTGCGCTGGACGATGCGCGGGCTGCGCTGGCGCGGAAGAACGCCAACCTCGCCGCATCGTCGGCACAGGTCCACGCCCTTGACACCCAGATGGCAACGCTCTCGGCGTCGTATGCTGGCTCGCCGGCCGCTGCTGCCTCGCTTGCCTCGTCAGCTGTCGAGACCGCCCACGCCTCGCAGTCCAAGCTCCGCGCCCAGATCCACGACCTCTCGCGACAGCTGCAGCTTGTGCGCGAGTCGGCTGCGCACGACGCGAACCAGGCGGCTGCGCGGCTCGACGCCGCGCTCACGGAGCGCGACGACGCCCGCGAGTCCGAGTCTGCTCTCCAGTCGCGCCTCCAGCTTGCCATTTCCAAGCTCTCGGCGGCATCGGCACGTGATGAAGCAACTTCGCGCGAGATTGACACCCTTCGTCGTGCGCTCGACTCGGCTGAGGCCGCAGCGCAGGACGCGGTGCTGGCGTGTACCAAGGCCCAGACCCAGGCCCGTGGCTACGCCTCGCAACTCGACGTGCTCACGCTTCAGTACAAGGCCGCGGCTGACAAGAACGCCACGCTGGCGACCGATCTCGCGGCGGCAGACGACGCCATTGCCGAGCTCCGCAGCCAGGTCCAGTCGCTCGAGGAGGCCAAGACCGAGGCCGAGCGTGCCCACCGTGCCGCGCTTGGCAAGGCGCGCGTGGCCTCGGAGGCCGCGGCGACCTCCAAGTCGCATCTCGACCAACTCACGTCGCGGCTCGCGCGCTCCGACTTTGACACGTCTGCGCTCCGCACCACGCTTCGCGCCGCCGAGGCGGCTGCCGTCGACACCCGTGAGGACCTCCTCGCCGACAACACTGCCCTTGCCACCACCTGCCGCTCGCTGCGGTCGGACGTCTCGTCGGCACACGCCTCCCTTGCTGCTGCCCGCGAGCAGATCAAGGAGCTCACCGGCCAGGTTGCCGGGCTCAAGGCGCAGCTCGCGGCCAACGACGAGCTGCTTGCTGTCCGCGACGCCGCCGTCCGCGAAATGGACACCAAGCTCACCACCCTGCAGACGCTCTACACCAACTCGACAGCGGCGGCCGAAAACGTCAACTCAGCCGCCATCCACCAGGTCAAGCTCGCTCTCGACACCGCCAAGGCCGACGCCGCCGCCGCTGCCGACGCCACCCGCGCCGCTGAGCGCGACGCCGCCGCCAAGGCCGAGGCCGTTGCCAAGCTCAAGGCGAGCCTCGCCGACCGCGACACAACAATCGCCCGCCTCGAGTCGCAGATTGCGGTCTCCAAGACCGGCTCGACCCGCGATGCCGACCTCCGCGCTCACCTGCAGGCGGTCAACGAGCGGCTTGAGACTCAGCTGGCTGCAGTGACACGCGAGAAGCGCAAGGCCACCACCGAGGCGCACGCCCACATCGACTCGCTCAAGACCCAGCTCGCGTCGCTCACGTCCAAGCTCGACTCAGAGGCCGCTATCAACGCTGACCTGCGGACGCAGCTCACGGCAGCGTTTGACGACGCGTCGGCGTCGCGTGCCGCGCTTGTATCGTCTGAGGATGCACTTGTCTCGGTCCGCGAGGAGTTTGCGCTCGCCGTCAACAAGTTTGCCGCTGACAAGCACGCGCTTACTCAGGCGCTCGCCACGGCCAAGGCCAATATTGCGGCGCTCACCTCTGCACGCGACACTGCACTCGACGAGGCGGCGACCGCAGCGTCCGACGCCGACGCGGCTACAAAGGCCCGGGCCGCCACCGAGGCCAAACTCGCGGTCACCAACTCGGAGCTGGCAGCCGCCAAGGCCTCGGCCTCGTCGTCGCTCTCGATGATCGACACTATGAAGGAGCACCACGCTGCCGAAGCTGCTGGCCTCCGCAAGCAGATCAACTCAATCACCAATGAGCTCAACGCAGCGCGGACCTCGCTCGCCACGTGCTCGTCCAAGTCAGAGGCCTCGGTCGCCGATCTCAAGCGGACCCACGCGTCCCAGGTCGATGCGCTTGAGTCGGCGCTTGCCGACCTCCGGAGCCAGCTTGCATCCAAGGCCGCGGCGCTGGAGACTGCCCAGGCCGAGGCGCTGGTGGAGGCCCAGAACGCTGAGGCGCTCGCCGACACCCTCCGCGACCGCATTACTGAGCTCGAGTCGACGTCGGCGGCGGCAGCCGACGCTGCTGCGCTCGAGACCCGGTCGCTGCACGCCAAGATCAAGTCACTCAACCAGGCCAAGGACTTGCTCGAGGCGCAACTTGCCCGCGCCAAGCAGCAAAACGAGTTCCTTGACCACGCGCTCTCCACCGCCCGCGAGGAGGCATCGCACTCGATGCGCATGTCGCAGGCTGGCTCCAAGCAGCTTGAGTCAGTCATCACCAACCTTCGCTCACAGCACGAGGACGCACTCTCGTCGGCCCAGGCGCAACGGACTCAGTTTGAGGACACGCTCCGCGAGACCCAGGAGGCGCTCGCGGCCGAGGCCAAGCGATCGGCGGCAGCAGCGGCCCAGGTCGTCGAGCTCTCGGCACGGGCCGACGACCTCGCGTCACAGCTCGCGGCCGTCACTACCGACCGTGACATGGCGACGGCGGCCCTCGACGCCGCAAAGGCCGACGCTGCCACCAAGCTCGACCTTCTCTCTGCCAGGCTCCAGGCGCGGTCGGACGAGCTCGACGCAGTGCGTCGCGACGAGTCGACTGCTGTCGCTGCACTCCAGGCCCAGCTTGTCGAGACCCGTGAGACCGTGGCGAACCTCGAGGACGAGCTCGCCGCCGCTCGTGGTGCCGCTGCCCTCGCGGCCAACGCCGCGGCGTCCAAGGCTGCGGCGGCGGCCGAAGAGCTGTCCGCGCTCAAGGCCGAGGCCAGTGCGCTCAAGGCAACACTGTCCAAGACCAAAACACGGGCTCGGGCACGCGAGGACGACCTCACGCGCGAGCTCAACGCCCGGACCGCCGAGCTTGCGGCAGCCCGCGAGGAGGCGCTCCAGTCGGCGTCGTCGTCAACCGAGGAAAACCAGCAGCTCGCGCACAAGCTCGCACACCTCCAGACGAAGCTCTCGACCACGGTCGACGACCTGCATGCAGCACAGAATCAGGCCCGCACCGCCGAGGCCACCGTCAACGATCTTCGCCTCGAGCTCGACGCCACCAACCGGGCGCTGGCCGAGTCCAACGCCCAGCTGGGGCGGACCAAGTCGGATCATGAGCGAACGCTTGAGCTGCAGCGGAAGCAGGCGGCAAGCGCTGCAGCGCTCGCGGCGCAGCGTCTCGACGCTGCCGACGACGCCAACGCCGATTTGCAGCGGCGACTCACCGAGGCCCGCACATCACTCACGGCCTCGCGTGCGTCCGAGAAGGCGCTTACTGCCGCCCGCGACGACGCACAGGCCCGCGTCAACGAGCTCACCGCCCAGCTCACCTCGCTCAAGACCCAACTATCAGTATCAACTGAGGATGCGCGCGCCGACGCGTCGCGCCACGCGGAAGAGACCGCCAAGGTCGAGAGTCAGCTCAAGAACCACATCCGCGAGCTGGAGTCGGCCCTTGCAGTCGCCAAGGACGCAGCAAACTCGGCGACGCTCACCCAGTCGGCGGCCGAGACCGAGGCCAAGGACGCCAAAGCAACGGCGGCCTCGCTCAAGGCTGAGCTCGCCGCTGTCCGGGCTCAGGCTGCGGCAGCTGCCGACGAGGCCACCGCCGCCGCCAACGCGGCTCGCGAGCTGGCGCTCGCCGAGGAGCGCGGTCACGCTGCCGAGCTTGCGGCGCTCCAGCGTGAGCTTGCCGCCGTCAATACCGCCCTTGACGCCACCCGCGCCTCGCTCGACAAGGAGGCCGAGCACTGGCGGTCGGTGCTAGAGGAGTCGTCGACCAAGTCGAACCACGAGCTCGCCGCTGCACGCGAGGCCACCGCCCACGCCGAGAAGACCGTCGACATGCTGCGGACTCAGCTGACGGCGGCAGTCTCGGAGCGCGATAGCCTCCGGGCACAGCTGACCTCGACCGAGACTGGACAGCACTCTGCTGAGGCGGAAGCCGAGGCCATCTCGGCCCAGCTTGAGCTTCAGAAGCAGGTGACCGCCCAGACCCAGGCCGAGCTTGCCGACGCCCGCACCGCGCTGGCGAGCCGGACTCAGGAGCTCGAGAGCAAGCACGACGCGCTCCGCGCTGCCAACATGGAGCTCTCGGCGCTTCAGGCGCAGCTGGCACGGGCCGAAGACCACGCGTCCGAGATGGAAGCCAAGCTCGCGGCTCGCGCCGCCGACGCCGACGATGAGATCAAGCGCTGGCGCGACCGGCTCGACGAGGCCACCCGCGATCGGGCAGCAGACGCTGCCGCCGCCGAGGCTGCTGCACACACGGCCTCGCTCGCTGCAGAGCACGCTGCGGCCCAGATCGAGGCGCTGCGCGACGATCTCGCTCGTGAGCGTAGCGCTGTCGCCGAGGCACACACCCGGCTCGCGGCGGTTAACGAGGACATGGTCATTACCAAGACAGCACTCACGGCACTGCAAGGCACGGTCGAGCGCGATGCAGCAGCGGCGGCACAGGCCGAGCGCGCTGCGCGCGGCGAGCTTGCTGCCGAAGCTGCCGCCCACACCGCGACCCGCAACGCGCGTGACAAGGCCGAGGCCGCCGCCGAAACGGCGAGCGCCAAGGCGTCCGAGCTGGCGACTCAGCTGGCGTCGGCATCGGCCAAGCTCGAGGCCGCCGAGGCCGAGGCTGCTTCTGGGCGGGCCATTATTGCTGCGCTCGAGACCCGGGTCGCGGACGCCGAGCGCAAGCTGGAGACCTCGACCGGCGCACACAGTGTGCTTGCCGATCATGCATCGGCGCTCGAAGCCGACCTCCGCGAGGCACGGACCAAGCTTGAGGCGACGAGTGCTGCAGCCCGCGACGCCGTCACGGCGCGCGACCGGATGGCGACGGCGCTTGAGCGGGCACAGACCGAAAAGGCGCACTGGAATACCATGCATGAAGACCGTAAGCACGAGGTCGCAGAGCTGGAGGCGGCCAAGTCGCGACTGTTTGATGAGCTCACCCGCGAGCGGGCGGCATGTAAGGCTGCGGAGCGCAACGCGGCCTCGGCTGAGGCGAGCGCGAGCGCAAGCGACGAGCGGGTTGCTGCACTCAACGCGCAGGTCGCGTCGCTCAAGGCCTCGCTCGGCGAGAAGACATCAGCGGTCAAGACGGCGGCGGCCGACGCGGACGCCAGCCGGGCCCAGTCGAACGCACTCACGGACACGCTCGCGGAGGTCAAGGCCGAGATGGCCAAGACCAAGGCCGAGCTCGAGCACGCGCGCGCAATGGCGCGCGACGCTAGCGCGGCCCGGCACGCTGCCGAACTCACCGCCGACGAGCTTCGGAGCCAGCTGCAGTCGCGGGTCGACGAGCTCCACGCGGCAGAGACCGAACTCGGGAAAGCGTCCGCCAAGGTCGTGAGCCTCCACGGCACGCTGGCCGACACCAAGCGGGCGCTGGAGCAAAAGCACGCCGAGCTGTCGACGGCGTCGAACGAGGCCGACGAGGCGCAGGCGGCGCAGCGCCAGCTCCAGGCGCGGGTTGACGAGCTGACGAACAGGCTCGGCGGGACGGCGGCGAGTCTCGCAGCGGCGCAGGCGTCGGGCGAGGCTGCTGAGGCCCGGGCGCGTGAGCTCAGCGACGAGCTTGACAACGTGCGCCACAAGTATGAGGCGCTGACAGCCGACCATACTGCGTCGGTTGCCGACTTGGCAACGGCGCGGTCTGACGCAAGGGCAGCAGCGTCGAACGCGTCGCGGCTGGAGAACGAGCTGTCGCGGACAAGCCACGATCATCGCGCGGCGCTCTCCGAGCTTGCAACGCTCTCCGAGTCTGTGGCGCTCGAAAAGTCACAGGCGCACGCATCGACACTGGCACTAGCATCGATGGAGGCGTCGTTGACGCGGTACTCGACACACGAGACGTCGTTGGCGGACGAGCTCGACGAAGTGCGAATGACCGAGCGCGAGCTGCGTGCGCGGCTGATGCGGCTCGAGGTCAATGACGAGGTGCTCCGCGAGCAGCTTGCGGCCGCCAAGGAGCTCGCAGAGAGCCGGGCCACCGACGCTCAGGTGGCGCGCGAGAGGCTGGCGGCGTTGACGGACGATGCGACCGAAGCGCAGGCCGAAGTGGCTCGGCTGAACGATCTTGTGCGTGCGCGGAGCCGCGAGGCCGAGCAGCTTGCGTTCAAGAGGGACGCAACTATTGCATCGCTGGAGGACCAGGTGCTCTCGCTCTCGGAGGAACTCAACGCACGGGCCAAGGCCGTCGATGAGTTTGAGGCCGCTGTCCAGGAGCTGCACAACACGTCGGTGGTGGCCGAAGCAACCGCGGCCAAGCAGATCAATGCACTGGCGAGCGAGCGCGACACGGCCAAGTCTGCGGCACAGAGAGCAGACGAAGCGAGGGCAGCCGCGGTCAAGGAGCTCAAGCTCGCCAAGGCCGAGGTTGCGACGCTGAGCAACGCGCTGGCGGCGCAAAGGGACGAGACTGCCGAGGCGCAGCGACACGCGCTTGGGCAGCACCAAGCGCGCGAGCTCGAGTCGACCCGGCTAGAGGCACTGACAGGCCAGCACGAGGCTGCTAGTCAGGAGCTTGCGCAGCTGCGAGCGGCCCACGAGGCTCAGCGGAACGAGCTCGAGACGGCGCGGCGCGAGCTGCTGCGGTACGAGGCGCGGCGCGAGGCGCTGGACGAGTCGGTCTCGGCCTCGCAGATGTGGATGTCGGACACAGTGTCGCGGGCCGACAAGCTTGCGGCGGAGCTCGCCGAGCTGCGTGGGTCGTCGGAGGAGACGGCGGCAGCGTTGCGCACTGCGCGCGAGGCAGAGGCAGCGGCGCGCAGCGCTGCGGCGCGTGAGGCAGCCGAGCATGCCGAGACCCGCAAAGCTCTTGTGGCTGCGGAGAGCTCGCTGGCGCGGGTCTCGACGACGCTGTCGCAGGTGCAGGACGACGCGGCAGCGCGCGAGGCGTCGCTACTGACCCAGCTGGAGTCGTCGTCGACGAACCGCGACACGGTGTTTGCGCGGCACCGCGATGCGCTCGACGAGGTGGCAGCGCTACGGTCCGAGGCTGCGTCGGCCAAGGCGGCCGCTGGAGCACTGCAGGACCAGGTCCGCATTCTGTCTCGTGAGCTTGAAGCGGCACAGAGCGGTCTGGCATCGGAGCGCAGCGCTCATACTGCGGTCCGTGATGAGTGGAAGTTGCTCAATGAGCAGCTCTCCGAGGCAAAACAGGAGCTTGTGGCGCTGCGGGCGAGCGCCGAGTCGAGCGCGAGTGCACTGGCACGGGAGACTGGCGCGGCGCGCGAGGCGAGTATTGCAGCGCGCGAAGCGAGCGGACGGGCCAATGCGCTGGAGGCGCGGGTGAACACGACCGAGCAGGCACTGAAGGACGCTCTGGCATCGCTGGAGCGAACAAACGTGACCGAGGCTTCGCTGCGGAGCGAGCTGGCGTCAGTCAAGGCGGCGTTGGCTGCTGCCGAGGAGCGGGCGCACGGCCGGGTCGGTGAGCTGGCGAGCGCCCAGGCGAGCGCGCAAGCAGCCGAGCTTGCAGCGTCACAGGCCGAGGCGCAGAGTGCGGCACTGGTGGCGTCCAAGGACCAGACTATCAGCATGCTGCGGGCGTCGCTCGACGAGACCACGTCGTCGAAGAAGCAGCTCGAGCTCGACCTGCATTCTGCGGTGGAACAGATTTCCCAGCTACAGGACTCGCTCCGGGAGCTGCAGGCTCAGGTCTCGAGCCAGGCGGCATCTGAGGATGCGCTCTCGACACTCTCGAACCAGCTGGAGACGTCTGTGATGCAGGCGGAGCACCAGCGGGAGGATCTCGCGCATCGGCTCGCGGCAGCGCTCGAGGAGCGAAACCGGCTCTCACAAGAGGTGCTTCGGGCTGGGCATGAGCTCGAAAAGGAAGCCGCGGAGCACGCGCACACTGCAGACAAGCTTCGCGAGTTGCGGGCGGAGCATGAGGCAAGTGAGGCACGGGCGGCGGCAGGGAGCGAGGAGCTTGCCAAGCTCAAGACGGCGCTCGAAGTTGCTCGCGCGCAGCTAGCAGAGCGGACGACGCAGACCGACGCGGCGGCGGACCGTGTGGCCGAAGCCGAGGCCCAGACGGCGGCGACGACTGCAGAGCTCGAGGAGACGCGGCGGTCGCTTGAGAGCGCGGACCGACGGGCGCGGGCTGCGGATGGTCGGGCGGCCAAGCAGGCCGAGCGGGCGGATGCCGAGGCAGCCAAGGCTGCAAATGCGCTGGAGGATGCTGCGGCGCTGCGGCGCGAGGTCGAGGCGTGCAAGGCTGAGATGGAGCAGCTGAAGGTCCGAATGGCTTCCCAGGCAGCGCTGACGGCGCAGCTTAAGGGCCAGGACGCGGCGGCGGCGACAACGCTGGCGCAGCTGCGCGAGAGCCTGGCGGCGACGGCGGACGACCGGGCGCGGCTGCAGAGCTCGATTGAGGCAGCACTGCAGGCCAAGGTACAGGCCGAGTCGGAGGCTGCAGGGCTCGCGGCGCAGCTAGAAGCCGCACAATCGATGTGCCACGACAGGGCTGCTGTGGCGCAGGCAGCGCAGGCGCAGCTCCATGCTGCAGAGCAAAAGATTGAGTCGCTGGCCAGTGCGCTTGAGGCGAACCGCGGTGAGCTGCGCGCAGCGCGGCAGACGGCAGCGCGAGCCGAGCAGGCTGCAGACGAGATCCGGGCGGACCTTGCGCGGACGCGTGAAGCACTCAGTACCGAGTCGACGACGCTTGCCGAGGCCATGGATGAGTGCGTTAGTAATGCCGACTCTCGGGCTGCAGCCCAGGCCGAGCTTGCGATGGCGCAGGAGGCGCTCGACGAGGCCCGTGCCGAGGTTGCGCGGCTCTCGGCGCGGGTGGAGGCCGCGGAGCGGACAGCGAGCTCCGCACAGGAGCGCGCCAAGCAGTTGCAGGCGAGTCTGAGCTTGCGAAGCGAGGCGCACGCCAAGGTTGCGGCCGAGCTGGAGATGTTGCGCTCTCGCGAGGCCGAGGCTGTGGAGGCACGGGCCAAGGCCGACGGGGTGGTGGAACGGCTGCGGGCGATGCTGGACAAGATTCGGAGCGAGAGCCACGCCGAGGCTCAGGAGGCAGCGCGGCGGCTGGCGGCAGCGCAGCAAGAGGCAGCGCATGCCAAGAGCGAGGCCGTGGCTCAGAGCACGGCTCTGGCTGGACGTGAGCAGGAGCTGGCGGCGTCGACCCGCGCGGCCGGAAGCCTCCGACGCGAGCTCGACAGCGCGCTCGCGATGCAGGCCGAGACCAGCACCCGACTGGAGCAGGCTCGTGCCGAGGCGAAGTCGCTGCGGGCGCAGGTTGCGTCGAAGGAGGCCACGCTGGGCGAGCTGCGGGAGGCGTTGGGCAAGGCGCAGGCTGAGCTCGAAAGCGAGCGAATGCATGCCGAGATGGCGGTGACCGAGCTCCGGAGCGAGGTGACTGAGGCGGCGGAGGCGCGGCGCCAGGCCGACGCTGCGGTGGCATCACTCACGACGCAGCTGCGGCTGTACGAGAGCGAGTCGCGGACGCCGAAGAAGATTCTTGAGTCGCTGCAGAGTCAGATGGCGGAGCTGGATGCGTCCAAATCCGAGCTGGCAGACCAGGAAGCGCTGGAGGCCAAGGTGGCGTCACTGGAGGATGCGCTCCGGGTGTCGCGGGCGAGCGAGACTCAGGCGCGGATCGACTTGGAAGGCGAGCGCAAGGCAGCGTCGGAGCTTGCGATGTCGGCGGCTGCGGATCGCGAGGCGCTGGTGCGGGCGCAGGAGCAAGCCAAGTTCTTCGAGTCGCAGGCGGAGCAGCTTGCGTCTGCCAAGGCGAACGCCGAGGCCAAGGTTGTTGCCCACTCCAAGGCCAAGTCAAAGCAGCGTGACCTCATTTCGCGGCTCACGACCAAGTGCAACGAGCTCAAGGTCGCGGTGAGGGAGGAGCGTGAGGCGATTGGTCGGGTGCAGGTGGAGCTTGCGGCGGTCCGCGAGGAGCACTCGTTCTGCGCGAGCAAGCAGGCCGAGCTGCGCGAGCAGCTCTCGGAACTCTCCGAGTTGGCGTCGCATGGCGACCAGCTGCCCCAGGTGCAGATCAAGGCCAAGAAGCTGGCGATCAAGCTGCGGACGGTGATGGGTGAGCTCGAGCAAGCGCAGGCGGAGGCAGCCGCTGCGCGGGCCGATGCTGCGGAGGCACGTGCGAGCGCCCAGGCCGCGGAAGCAAAGGCGAATGCAGCGTCTGCGGGACGAGCGCGAGCCGAGGCTTTGGCGAACGAGGCGGATGCGCAGGTGTTGGCGGTTCGGCGCGAGGCTGACGAGCGCATCGCGGCGGTGAAGAAGAAGGCCGCGGCGCGTGTGGCAGCTGCCGAGGAGGCCAACTCGGAGACGGCGGCAAACCGCAAGGCGCGGGTGACACTTGAGGATATGCGCAAAAAGTACGAGTCGCGGGTGAAGCGGCTCGAGTCCAAGGTGAGTTCTGTGAGCCGGACGCGGTCGTCGCTGCAGACCGAGCTCGAGGAGGCACTGTCCAAGGTGTCTGAGATGGAGGTGACGAACATGCAGCACCTCAAGGTGGTGCACGCGCTGGAGGAGGCGTCGGAAGAAAACAAGAAGCTCCGGGCACAGCTGGCACAGATGCGGATCAAGTACAAGACGGTCAAGGGCGTGGCGGCGCAGCAGCGGCAGGTGGTGCCGGCGCACCTCCGGAGGGTGCTGACCGAGACGGAGCACGATGCGATGTTTGGCGACGACTCGGAGATGGACGTGGCGATCACGCCGACGATGGCGGCGATCACGTCGAATGCGGCGGCGCACGAGGAGGCCTCGCGGTGCCTTGCGCTCGTTGCGTCGCTCAAGTCGCAGCTTGCGGCGGTGACGTCGCCGAGCAAGACCGGCGCTGGCGCGAGTGACGAGGCTGTCCATATGGCAGCGTCGGATCCGGTCGGCTCGCTGCGTTCAGCCATCCTTCCGGTTGTCTCTGTTGTCGACGAGCTGGAGGACATCATCGCACACATGGACATCTCCGACGAGAGTCTGGGAATCCATGGCGGCGAGCTCGCGGTGCGGGCAGCAGCGCTCGAGGCCGAAAACGCGGCGCTTCGCAAGAAGCTCGAGCACATCGAGACAGGACTCGTGGAGCAGACTCGCGGGCTCATTGCCAACGTCCGAGAAGTGCAGCGGCTGCAGGCAGCCGAGTCTGGCGGCGACTCTGACGCGGCGTCGTTCGACTCGCAGCATCAGGGCTCGCTCTTTGAGCTCGAGCTCGACTCGCTGGAGCAGTCTGCCGATGCGCTTCTGCACTCGATCCACGAGTCGTTCGAGTCGATTGACTTTGGGCCGCCACCGTCGGACTCGGACCATGAGTATTGAATTGTTGCCACCCAGCCCATCACTGCAAACCATCGACGCACGTCGCAAGTCGGGGATGGCATCAGTTGACGTTGGTTGAGCTGGCGACTCGAGGCACCTGTCTCCTCCCGAAGCCCGAAATCATGTCATCGTCAGAGGAGTTCTACATCATAGACTCTGACGAGTCTGGGTCGTTTGAGATCGAAGACTCCGAGTCTGAGGACGACAACCCCGACATTGCGCTTGAGAACGCATTCCACGAGTCGAAGAGTACGTGGTAGTCGTAGTTTGTGTGCATGCCTTGCCCCACCATGGCCGTGGCCGCGGGGTCAGAGTGGAAGGGCGACCGGGGGGGGGGGGGGGGGGGGCGGCGACGATGGAACGAAATTGTGACTGACTCTGGGTGGGTGGGCGGCATGGTGTGTGCGCGCGGGTATGGTGGGGCATGGTGACAGGTCTCATGGACGACGCACATGCGGAGCAGGCGCTAGAGGGCTTTCAGAAGGTGCTGCGCTTGGAGGAGGAGCGGGGCAACCCGAGTGAGTACACGTACGACGCGGTGGGGTTTCTGGCGCGTCTGGCGTTTGGGCTCGGGCACGCTCGCGATGAGGTACTGGGCTACTTTCGGCGGCAGGTGGAGCTGGGACAGACGGCGATTGTGACGCGGAACCATGCGGAGAAGTGCGTGTTTGAGCAACTGGACTTTTTTGCCAAGTCTGCCGATGATGTGGACTTGCTGGAAGCGGTGTACTCGCTGGCGCTGGAGGCGCTGAAGGACGACAACAAGCTGCGGTACAAGATCCTGCTCAAGCTTGGCAACGTGTACCGCGAGAAGGACGACCACGCGCGCCTCAAGAGTGTTCTGGACGAGCTGTACGCGATCTGCGACGCTGAGGGTTCGACCGGGGCGCAGAGGCTGGAGGCGTACGCGCTGGAGATCCAGATGCACACCAAGACGCGGAACCGCAAGAAGCTCACCGAGCTGTACGAAAAGTCGCTGGAGGTTTCGGACGCGATCTCGCACCCGCGGACGATGGGCATCATCCGCGAGTGTGGCGGAAAGAACAACCTGATGATGGGCGACTTTGAGGCGGCACAGCGCGACTTTTTCGAGTCGTTCAAGGCGTACGACAACGCGTCGGATGGCCGGGCGGTTGGGTGCCTTAAGATGTACATCCTCTCGTCGATGCTCTGCGAGTCAACAGTAGACCCGCTGGCGGCCAACGAGGTCAAGGGCTATGTGGAGAACCGCGAGATCTCGTCATTTGTGGCGCTTGTTTCGGCGTACCAGCGCGACGACCTGCACGAGTTTGAGCGCGTGCTGCGGACGAACCGCCGGTCGTTTGACAACTTTCTCAAGGTCTACATCGACGACCTGCTCAAGAACGTGCGCACCAACGTCATTCTCCAGCTCATTGCGCCGTACACAAACATCTCGATCGGCTTTGTGGCCAAGAAGCTCCGCATTCCCGACGCCGAGGTCGAAGCTCTGCTCATCTCGCTCATCCTCGACGCCCGCATCCTCGGCTACATCGACCAGGTCGAGCAGCGCCTGACGCTGACCTCCAAGACCAAGTCCAAGGATGAGACCCTTGCCGGCCTCAACCGCTGGGTCTCCCGCATCGAGTCCATGTCGGCCTCTATCCAAGGCAAGATCCGCTGAGTGTGCGTTGAGTGTGTACGCTGGGCTGATGATGGCGATGGCAGCGCTGGTGCTGTCTCGAGGTCTGGACGAGAAGGGAGGGATTGAGCCAGTGGTTGGCTGGCTGGTAGCAAGTCGTAAAGTAGTTTGTCGGGATTGAGGCTGATGGGAAAGGGTGAGCGGGCGGGTGGGGGGATTGGGTGTGTGTGTGGTGGGGGTGGGGGGGGGAGGGTGGCGGTGGCACCTCCGCTCCGACCCATCCTCGCCCGACGAGTCGCAGAGCGACCACTGGCACCCCCACCACCCCCCACCCCCACCAACGTGACCCAAACACGCCCACTCCACTCCACCTCCTCCCCACCTCACCCCCAACCCCACCAATCTACTGTGGCACCAAGCCCCACGTCTTTGTCTTCCTCTCCCTTTCCCTTTCGCTCTCCCTCATTCCCCTGTGCTAGGCTAAACCATGGACGCACCGTTTCGTGTGACGCACCAGCGGGTAGCGCTGGACATCGACATGCAGGCGACACGGGTGGCTGGCATGACTGAGATGACGCTGGCACCTCTGGATGAGAGCTTGGATAGGTTCTCGTTTAATGCAAGGAACTTGGACATTACTCGTATCACGGTGGATGGCGTGGTGGCAGAGTACGCCTTTCAGGATGCTCTCCAGCGGGTGGTGCCTCAGTACGAGGGCCAAGCCGCGTGGTCGGTTGGTCGCTACGATGAGTGTTTGGCGACGGCGATGGCGTCTGCCGATGCGGGTGAGCTGCTGGTGTACTTGCCCAAGGAAGTCAAGCTTGTGCCGCGGGCGGTGCCGCTCGGCGACGAGGCGGCGAAGGGCTGGGTTGCTCCGCCACCGGCCGACGAGGACTCGTCCGACGACGAGGAGGACAACTCTGTGGCATCGAGGCTGGGCATGTCGACGTCAAAGATCAAGCGAGCGACGCGGGAGAAGGCTGCGGCCGGCGGGAGTGAGGAGGAGGCTGCGGCCAAGGCCAAGAAGAAGAAGAAGAAGGGACTGTCCGAGGCGGCTGCGGCCGGAGCGGCTGCGGCGCTGGCGTCGCGGCAGCAGCGGATGAAGGCGTCGTACTTTGAGCCTGTGGTTGTTCGCATCGAGTACTCGGTGACGGCGCCGGCAGGCGGGCTGCGGTTTGTGCTGCCGGACGCAGACGCGTTTCCGATGCGGGCGCCGCAGCTGCACACGACGGGCGAGCCGCTGTCGACGCGGATGTGGCTGCCGTGCGTGGACAACCGAATCTCGCGGCCGCTATACGAGTTTGCGTTTACGGTCGACGCGCGGTTTATGGTTGTGGCATCGGGCACGCTGGTGTCGCAGGTTGAGACTGGCGACGGGGCTACCAAAACGTTCTACTACATGCTCGAGGTTCCTACTGCGGCTGGTGCACTCTCGCTGGCGGTGGCACCGTTTGAAGTGGTGCAGGACCCGCGGCTGCCATTTGTGACCACGTTCTGCCTGCCCGGCGAGGCCGAGCGGGCGGTGCACACGGCGGCGGCGCTGTACGACATCTTTGAGTTTTACGAGGACTACCTCGGGCTCCCGTACCCGCACGAGAACTTCAAGCTTGCGTTTCTGGAAGAGCTGCCTGGTACGTTAGTGGTAGGTGCGACGGTGGCGTTCTGCTCCGACGCGCTGCTCCACGACGCGTGTGTGGCGGACCAGGTCCAGCCTGCGGCGTGCGAGCTCGCGCTCGCGGTGGCGACGCAGTGGTTTGGAGCGTTCATCGATGTGCCGACATGGTCGGAGGTGTGGACGCTTGAGGGTCTCGCGCGGCTGCTGCGACACGAGTTTGTGCGGGCGGCGTTTGGGATTGCGGCTGCAAAGCTCGCGCTCTACTCGTCGATGCAAGTTGTGCGAGTGGTTGAGGGCGGGAACGCGCTTGCGGGCGTGGTCATGCCGCCGCTCTCGCATCCGACGTTCGAGTCGCACCCTGCGGCGCTGATGGAGGACTTTGGCGCGGTCAACGCGCTGCCTGTGGTGGCCGGGCTGAGTCTTGTCTCGCACGCGCTCTCGTACGGCAGCGTCTTTGGAGTCAAGGCCTTTGTGGTCATGCACATGCTGCAGACGCGAGCCGGGCCGGAAAAGTTCAAGCGACTGCTTGTGGGGACGTGCCGGCGTGCGCTGGACTCTGACCTTGCGACGATTCTGGACTTTGAAGGCGAGATTTTTGCGCGGCTGTGCAAGAAGGACTCGTCGCTGCGGGAGTTTGCAGAGATGTGGGTGTCGCGGGCGGGCTCGCCGACGCTGCTCTGCGGGTTCTGGTTCAACCGCAAGCAGCACATGGCCGAGGTTGCGATTCGACAGGAGGGCGTGCGCGACTGGAACAGCGACAAGTTTACGGGCCCGCTCATTCTGCGAATCCACGAGTATGACGGGCTCTACGACCACGTGCTCCACATCGACGACGTGTACAATGTGTGCTCTGCGCCGGTCAACTCGAAGAACCGCAAGGCGCGTGCCAAGACTGTCAAGCTGGAGAACGGCGAGTACGCGAGCGTGGACGTGACAGCGATGAACGACGCGCCAATTCTGTGGCTGCGGCCGGACCCCGACCTCATGTTCCTCGGCACCATCACGTTTGTGCAGTCGGAGGACAACTGGGTGTTCCAGGCAACGCTTGAGCGCGACGTGGTGGGCCAGCTGACGGCGATTGCGGAGCTGGGCAAGATCGGAACACCCGACGCGATCAAGGCGCTTGCGGCGATTCTGGAGGACACGCGTAATTACCACGCGGTGCGGAGCGCGGCGGCGGCAGGGCTGGCGACAGCGGCGACGGTGCGGAACGCCGGGGCGGCGCTGGAGACACTCATCTCGCTCTTCAAGTCGTTCTACTTTTATGAGGACGGCTCGCGGTTCAAGCCAAACGACTACTCTGACCTTGCGGCGTACCACGTGCTGGTGGGGATGGTGCGTGCACTGGCGATTGTGCGCGATGCCTCGGGTGAGTCGCCGCAGCACATTCGCGACTTTCTGGGCGAGCTCCTCAAGACCAACGACAACTCGTCGAACGAGCTCACGGATGCGTTCTTTGTGGCGGAGCTGTACAAGGCGCTGACGCAAACGGCGCTTGCCAGTCGTGACAGCGCCATCGGGCTTGCAATGTACCGCAAGCTCTGCTCTGCGCTCGACTTTTACCGCATCCTGCCGTCGTACCACGACGTGGTCTCGCAGGCAGCGCTGGCGGGCATTGCGGCGCTTGCAGGCGCGCCGGGCTCGCGGGTGCCGCGTGGCGAGGTGCTTGACAAGCTGTACGAGGCAGCGGCGTACGGTAAGTTTGCCGACGTGCGTGTGGTGGCGTACTGCGGGCTTGTGGATCTTGTGGCGCTGGACAGTGTCGCGGCGCTGACGTCGTTCCTGGGCCTACTTGCGGCGGAGCCTGTGACGACGACGGCGTATGTGGTGCTGAAGCATGTGGCCGCACACGTGGGGCGGGCGCCGATGTACAAGGAGCTGCACTCGCCGGTGACGGAGCTCGTGGCGGCGCGCAAGCTCACATCGGTCGTCTGGCACCAGCTCAATGTGGTCTCGGCATACGACTCGAAGCGTGCTGCCGGGTGGCGGGCGGTCTACCGCGCCCTGTTTGGCTACGGCAAGCCGGTCTGCCTCCCGAACGAGGTGCCAGCGGCGCAGGCCGAGCGGCCGCGGCTCAAGCTTGTGATTAAGCAGCAGGATGTGGCAGCGGCCATGCCACAGGCCATGGACGTTGCCGACGAGCCGTCGACGGCGGTGGCGATGCAGGAGGCGGGGACCAAGGTTGCTGTCAAGACCGAGGAGGCTGCGGCCCCCGTACCTGCCGCGGTCGCGAGCAGCGGCGCGGTGGCGGCCACCGGCATGCCTGCGGCTGCAGCGGCGGCCCCCGCAGCGGCAGTGGCGGCCGGAGCAGGCGAGGCAGCGAGCGGAGGAGGGTCTGCTCCGCCTGCTGGGGAGGTCAAGCCGTCGCGGCCGGTCATCAAGCTCAAGCTTGGCGGAGCTCTGCTGACCAGCGGCGGTGGCGGTAGCGACGATGACGACGAGTGGGGCACGTTCTCGTCGAGCGAAGAGTGAACACAGTAAGATGAGCAGCGTCTCGCAGGCAGTGGCCGTGGCGGGTCGGTGACGGCTGGGGTAAAGACTTGGCTCGAGTCGCGGGCGAGCGGCGAGCGAGGCGACCGTCAGGTGCAGGCGGACGATGTCTGGCGGACTGGCCGAGGTGCCAAAGGAGGCATGGGTAGACTATGCACAGGCGGTTGCGCAAGTCTTTGCGCTTGCGGGCTTTGCCGGGGTACAGGCGAGCGAGTGGGACGCAGCGTCGCATGCGCAGGCTGTCTCGTGGGCCGAGCTGTTTGCGGCGCTCGGCGAGGCACTACGTGATGGCAGCGAACCGCGACCTGCGGTGACGGCGGGGGAGATACTTGCCGAGCTGCGGGCGGCGGGTGCGCCATTTACCTCGGTGGAGAGCCTGTGCGGTGCACGGGAGCTTCTGGATGCGACGCTGCTGGGCAACGTGGGAGTGGCAGCACAGCCGGAGCTTCTGGCTACGGTCGTGGCGGCGCTGGCGGATCCTCAGGCGGCACTGGCACAGGCACTACAGCAGAGCGCCGAGGATGCGGTCGGATGGCGGGTGGCGGCGGCAGCGGACAAGTTGGCAGAGGCTGGGCGGAAAGCCGCGAGTGAGGGCGAGCCGTGGGTGGTGGCGATGGCGCGTGAGGAGCTCGGCGACGGCGGCGGCGGCGAGATCGGGGCCGCGGAGTTGGCGCAGGCACTCAAGGCACTGAGAGAGAACGAGAACGGAAGCGAGGGCGAGGGTGAGATGGTGGATGCGGCAGTGCGGACGGTGGCGCGGGCAGCGCTGGCGGGGGTGGCGAGTGCTGGCGATGTGGATGCGACGGCAGCGGCGCTGGCGACGATGAGCATGTCGCGGGCAGGCGAGGTTGCAGTAGCGGTAGCCAATTATCTCGCATACCTCTCGTTTGCTTTTTCCGGCTCTATCTCGACGGGCTCAGCTCGCAGATGCGTGTGGGTGGGAGGAGTGCGGACGGCGCGGCGCGGCGGCTCGAGTCGCTGCGTACGATCTCGCGCGGAGCGAGCGAGGCGGTGGCTGCGGTGATGGGAGTGGGTGAGGTCAGAGGGAGGGCGGGCACGGGCAGCAGCACCAGCGATGACGACGATGTTTAAGCGAGCGGAAGAGCGGGAGGCTTCTACATAAAGGCGAGAACGGCGGAGAGAGCCGAGGCGGAGCCGATGATGGCGGTCGAGGATGTGTTGACCGACTCGAGGTCAAGGCCCTTTGCGGTGGCGTCCCAGTAGATGTGGCGGGCGGAAGCCAGGTAGTGGTAGGTGAGCGGGAAGGCGACAGAGAACTTGGCGAGCGGGACGAGGGCGGGAGCGGCGTCCTTGAAGGCGTGGACGCAGTCGGTGATGTCGCCCGACGAGGGCAGATAGACGAGCGAGGCGGTGGCGAGGCCGCCGACCAGAGCCATACCGGTCACACGGTTCATGATGGACGAGATAGCGGTGACCGGGAACTTGTACACGGTGACATGCGGCGAGATGGGCCGCTTGGCGTTGCGGTTGGTCGCCTCGCCGGCCGCAGCTGCAGAGGACGACGTCAGCGTCCGCACGCCCGCCAGAGCAGTGGCGACAGCAGGGGACGATGCCAGGGAGCTGTGGAGAGGGTATGCGGGAGGGAGGAGGAGGAGGAGGGGGTGGTGGTGAGAGGGTGTTGGTGGTGGTGGGTATGGGGTGTGTGTGGGTGGTGTGGGAGCGGGTCGAGTCGTCAGCCATTTTTTGGTCTGTGGACCATGGGCATGGGCATGGGCATGGGCATGGACATGGGGCATGGGCATGGGCATGGAGAGTGGGGGAGGGGGGAAGGGGGCGGTTGGATGGAAGGTGGAACTGTGCAGGAGGCGGTGGGACGTACGTAGGCGTGGTGGCGGCACGCAGTGTGGCGCTAGCGAGAACGATACGCAGCATTGTGTGGTGCGGGCGTCGAGTCTGCGTCCGCGACAACGAGTTTGGTTGGGATTTGGGGGGGGGGGGGGGGGGAGAAGGGGTGGACAAGATTGGCTTGCGTTCATTGGACACTAGAGTCGGGAGGGAGGGAGATGAGAAGGATGGCCGAGATATCGGGATACTCGTCGGATTACTCGTCGGGTTTCTCATCGGGATACTCGTCGGGTTACTCGTCGGGTTACTCGTTGGGGTCATCGTACTCATCGACCAACTTGTCGACTTGATTGTGAGCTTGGACGATGGCTTGGACGATCGTTTGGACGATCGGCTGGATGATCGGTCGGACGATCGCTTACTCCTGCTGCTGCTCCTGCTGCTGCGGCTGCTGGACAGCGGCAGGGTAGCCGTAGCCGTAGCCAAAGCCAAACTGCTGCTGCTGCTGCTGCGGGAAGAAGCCCGAGCCGTAGCCAAACTGCTGCTGCTGCGGGAAGTAGCCCGAGCCGTAGCCAAACTGCTGCGGCTGCTGCTGCTGCTGCTGCGGGAAGTAGCCCGAGCCGGTGGCAAACGGCTGCTGCTGCGGGGCGGCAAAGGGCTGGGCGGGGTAGAACGAGCCGTACTGCTGCGGCTGCTGGTTCTGCTGGTCAAAGCCGGCAAACGAGCCATAGCCTCCGTAGGTGCCGTAGCCAGGGTACGCACCATAGCCGTAGGGCGACGGGGCGGCAGCGGCGGCGGTCGACGACTTCTTGGACGACTTCTTGGACTTCTTGGACGACTTCTTGGACGACTTCTTGGCCTTGGCGTCGTTGTCCTCGGCGTCAACGGCCTCGGCGGCCTCGTAGGCCTGCGGCGGGAACGGCGGGTAGTTGAGCGGGAGGACCTGGGTGGGGAGGCGCGGGTCGACCTTGTCGGCCTTGGTCACGATCGGGGCGAGCATCATGTTGAAGAGGGTTGGGAAGAGGAAGTGGGGTGGCGGAGGGCCGCGTCCGTGGCTGTGGATGGGGATTGGAGGCGAGGATAACGGCGGTTTTTTGGGGAGAGCAGGAAAAGGGGAAGGGAGGAAGAGGTGACGGGCAACGGGAAGATGTTGGTTCACTGGTGATCATGTCCACGTAGAGGCAGTGTCATCTGCCCTGGAGAACAAAGTGCAAGTTACTCGTCGTCCGACTCGGCATCGTCATCATCGGAGGTGTTCTGGACCGGGGCAGGGTACGACGGAGGCGGGGCCGGGTAGCGGGCGATGACCTCACCCTCGACAACGCGCGGCTGCGGGAAGGCGCCCGGGTAGGCGCCCGGGAAGCCACCGAACTGCTGCTGCGGCTGCTGGTAGCCCGAGGCCTGCTGCTGCTGCGGGAAGCCAAACGGCTGCTGCTGGGGGAAGCCAAACGGCTGCGGCTGCTGGTAGCCCGAGGTCTGCTGCTGCTGCGGGAAGGCGGCAAACTGCTGCTGGAAGCCAAACTGCTGCTGCGGGAAGCCAAACTGCTGCGGCTGCTGGTAGCCGGAGGCCTGCTGCTGCGGGTAGCCAAAGGTGGGGTAGCCGAACTGCTGCGGCTGCTGGTAGCCGGAAGCCTGCTGCTGCGGGTAGCCGTAGGTCGGGTAGCCCTGCTGCGGGTAGGCGCCGTAAGTCGGGTAGCCCTGCTGCGGGTAGCCAAAGGCGGCCGGGGCGGTCGAAGCGGACTTGGTCTTCTTGGACGACTTCTTCGACTTCTTCGACTTCTTCGACTTCTTGGACGACGAGTCCTCCTCGGCGACGGCCGACTTGGTCTCGTAGGCCTGCGGCGGGAACGGCGGGTAGTTGAGCGGAAGGACCTGGGTCGGGAGGCGCGGGTCAACCTTGTCGGCCTTGGTCACGACCGGCGGGAGAGTCGGCATGCCGCCAAACTGGGTGCCCTGCGGCTGCTGGGCAAAGGTGTTGCCGTAGCCAAAGGTCTGCTGCTGGAAGCCACCGTAGACCTGCTGGACCGGCTCGGCGGCAGCCTCGACGACAACCTCCTCGGTGGCAGCAGCCGGAGCGGCGGCGTCGGCGTTGGCAGCGGCGGCGTTGGCCTCGCGCTGCTGGCGGGCGGCAGCCTCATCAGCGGCCTTCTTTGCGGCAGCCTCGTCAGCGGCCTTCTTGGCAGCGGCCTCATCGGCGGCCTTCTTGGCGGCAGCCTCGTCAGCGGCCTTCTTGGCGGCGGCACCGTCGTCGGCCTTGGCGGCGGGCTTGGCAGCCTCCTAGTGTCGCACGCATTCCATCGGGTCGGGTGAGTCTGATGAGAAGGCTGCGAGAGGCGAGAGCGCTCAACAAAAATGGTCAACAGAGGGTCAGGTTGCAAGTTATCGTCACAGCATCGCTCGGACGGTAATTCCAAGTGTTCTATCATCATCCCCAATAGTTGGTGGCTCTACTCGGTCGCTTGTGTTGCCGGTCTGCGGGTGTCAAACACAAACAAATTAAACAAACCGAGAAAGAGAAAGAAAACAAAGGCACAGAGGCGCCCGTCGCCATCCATCCCACAGCGGGGGGCGGGGGGAGGGAGGGAGGGAGAGAGAAAGGGAGAGAGAGAGGAAGAGCGGGGGGGGGAGAGGGGAGGGGGCGAATGTGGGGGCGTACCTTCTTGCGGCGCTTGCCGTCAGCCTTGTTCGGCTCCTCGTTGAGGGCGTCATGAAGCTGCTGGATGTCGTTCTTTAGGGCCTCGTTGAGCGACGAGACGTTGTCCGACTTGGAGCGCTTGGCGGCGATGACCTTGCCAGCGGTGTCGGCCACGTTCATGGCGGACTGTGCATGGTAGCAGGGGAGGAGAGGGGGGGGGTTGTGAGAGAGGTGTTGCTCGCAGAGACGCAAACAAAAGCCGACAAACAAAACAAACAAACCGAGGGCGGGCAAACGTGTGACCAACCGAGTGACCAACCGAGTGGCGTTTGTTTCGGCGGTTCGGCAGTTCGGCGGTTCGGCAGTTCGGCGGGCGAATGGACAAAGCGTCGGAGGAACGAACAACGGCTGGTTCATGAACGAAAAAATGAAGGCCACACAACGGGGAGAGGTGGCCAGTGGGGAGGTACGGCACAAGTGGGGAGACGGAAAGGTGCAGCGAGGCATCAGCGTGCGGGTGGGCAGTCAGGTTCACAAGCGCGAAGCGTGCAGATGGGCCAGTGGGAGGGGTGTGCGGGTGTAGGGGGCAGGGCGGGGGCGGTGCAGCGTGGCCAAAAAACGGATCCAACTCGGGCGGCGGGTGTAGAGGTCGCGACGGCTGGTGATATGACGTACCTGGAGGACATGGGTGGAGGCGCCAGACTTGGAGGCCTCGCCCAGAAGCTGGGAGACAGCGCGGGCAACGGCGGTGGCCTTGGTGCCGGAGGCATCGTCGGAAGCAACAAGCTCGTCAGCAGCAGCGCCGACCTCGTTGGCCTTGGTTCCCAGCGAAGACATGATAGTAGTAAGTGTGAGAGGAATGGTGGCGGTTGGGCGGGGAACTGGGAATGTCACAATGGTTTCAATGGCTTGAGGGGGGAATGCGGCGTGGGTCGGACGGGGGGGGGGGGGCAGAGCTTGTTATGAGGCTAGAGGGTGTGGAGGTTGTTGCCAGAGTGCGACGATGGGGCGGCAAGGTGGAAGCGGGCAACGGCAACGGCGGCGATGGCGTCAGCAACGAGCGCGAGCTGGCCGGCATGGGCTGGGATGACTGCGGGGGACGAGGCAAGCAGGAGGAGGAGCCAAGCTAGAAGCGGGGCGACAACAGCGACGAGGAGAGCCACAATGGTGTAAGCCGTCCGCCGTCCGCTGGTCCTCATCAGCGAGACCACCAGAGCAATCGGGCCAACAGCGGCAGCGATGCATGCGGCGCCGCCCAGATGGAAGAAAACGAGGCCCGCAAGGTACGAGCCCGGGCCGAGTGCCGGCGCCAGCCATGCCGAGAAGCAGCCCTCAGTGGGGTTCTCAGCAGTCAGGCAAGTCTGCGCAAAGAGTAGCGCGTACCACGCATACCATGCAGCCACGCACATGCCCATCACGGCAGCGACACTCGCTGCGCACGGCGGACAGCTGACCAGCGGCCCACCGTGCGAGTGGCCGTGGCCGCCGCCGCTGCCGCGCGAGTGGCCATGTTCGGCAGCCGGCAGCCGTGCAGGGACCATGACCCCGTCCGAGTTCTCCTCGGCGACGCTGACGCGAATCATCGCGGTCGAGAGGCCGTCCTCGGCACCAGCCTCTCCGCCACCACCGTCACCGCCACCTCTGCTGGCCTGGAGCGCGTGGAGAAGCCACTGAGCAGCAGCGTCCGCGTCGTCGCCAAAGTCCAGGTCGACCACAGGCCGTCCGTCGGCCGTGGTGCCAGCTGTTGCCGCCACAGGCGGAGGGAGCAGGGCATCCCAGCCTTGACTGCTCATGCGAGAGTGTGCGAGGGCGAGGGGTGGGAGGGGGGGGTGGGTCCAGGTGGACAGAAGTCGGCCCCCGTCGGGTTTGGGGTGTGGTGGTGGGTGGTCAGGTGGAGGTGGAGGATGGGCGCGTCGGTGCGAGGTGGGCGTGTCGGGCAGCGCGCTTTTTGGAGACCGACCTACCGTGACTTGCCAAGGTCATGACGGGCGGATGCCAGTGTTGACGGACAGTAGCGAGGGAGTTATCCATGGAAGCATATGAGGAGAGTTGTGTGATGTGATGTGATTTGATGTAGGATGCTCGATGTGGGCAGTAGCTTGCCTGCGATGGCGGCGGAGTTCATGCGGGTTCGAGCGAGTAACGAAAGTGTTGCATCCCACGTCACAACGGCGTGGGCTTCCACGCGCCGGATGGGGACTATGGCGGACGCGCTGGTGGAACCACACCCATCTCCACCTGTCGAGCATAGAGAGTGTAACCGGCTCTACTTCTTCTCTGGACTTGGCCATGAGTATGCTTGGCTCCCCTGAGACAGACAGCACACCCTGCGCGGTGAGGCGAGACGGAGGGCCGTCGGTGGCGGGAGCAGGGGCGAGCCGAAGCAGCGGCGCGGAGATCGGGAGCGCGAGGGGTGCGGGGCGCGCGGACAGCACAAGCGATGCAGACAGCAGAAGCACTGCATCGAGCCATGCACCGACGGTAATTCCTTGCGGAATGACCGGGGTCACTTTTGGTGAGAACGTGACGGTGGTCCATCCGACCAAGCTCGACGGGTGCGTCCTGGGCGAGTCTGTCTTTGTGGGCCCGTTTACCGAGGTCCAGCCGGGAGTGTGTGTCGGGGCGCGGACGCGGCTGCAGTCGCACGCGTTTGTGGCTAGCAACGTGTGCATCGGCGAGGATTGCTTTGTCGGACACGGGGTCAAGTTTGCATCGTCGGCCTTTACCGTCCTCGCGCCTCACATTTCCGAGGACGACCTGCCCGAGACCGGGGCGGCTGTGGTGGGCAACAACGTGCTGATCGGGACAAACGCGACCATCCTGCCGGTCACCATCTGCGACAATGTGGTGATCGGGGCAGGCGCCGTTGTCATGTCGGACATTACAGCGTCAGGCAAGTACGTCGGCGTGCCGGCGCGCAGGATGGGCGAGCGTAAGAATGGAAGCAATGCCGGGAGCTAGCGGCCAAACCGTTGCTCAGTCGCTGTCCCACGCTGGACAGCAGAGACAAACTCGGCGCGGGTAATGAACGCTGCGCCACCGCGCGGCGCAAGCGCCACAAACTCGGTGTTGGCCAGGAGCCACGGATTAAAGCCGGCGATTGTAAGTGCACCGCCGTCGCCGACCACCAGCGCAACGTCGACCGGCCCAAGCCCAGCGACGCCTTCAGCCCCAAGCGCGGCGTCGACATGGCCCTCGCCGATGTCGCTGGCGGCGAGTCTGCCGGCAGTGACGTCAGCAGCGAGTCGCTTCGCAGCCACCGCCAGCGGCGCCGGGCCAAACGAGCGCGCGTCCTCGAGGTGCACATACATGGCGTCGGTGGCGGCCGAGTCGAGAGGAGCAGGCTCAGAGCTCGGCAGAACGACGACGCCGCGCGCAGGGGCTGGCGTCGTCGCTGCCGCCACTTCGGCTGCGGTCAGCGCGAGCGGAGCCATCGCCGATGGCCCGGTCTCGTACACGGTACACTTGAGCGTCCCGATGTCAGCGGCCCAGGAAAGAATGTGCGGAACCGCTCGCCGGGCACTGGTAGGCACAATCAACGCAAGGTGCTCCGGCGGATGGAGCTCTGTCTTTTGCGGCGGCCAGACCGAGTCCGGGAGGAGCTCACCGGCAGCAGCGGCTCCAAGAGTGGCGAGGTCAGCAGAGGCGGTGACGGCGGCGACGGCGAGGGCGTACGCCGTGTGAACGAGCCACAGCAGAACCCGTGCGAGACCAGGTGGCATGTAGAGTGTTGGGTAGGGGTGGGTCTCGTGTGGGAGCCCGGTCTGCCCCCGGGGTGGACGAGTGTGCGCGTGTGTGCGTAGGGAAGGGGGGCGGGTGCGTGTCGTGTGGGATCCCAGCTTGACGGGAGGAGTGGGGATGGGGTTGATCTGGGCAGGGAGGGAGAGAGACGAGAGACGGCTGACTGATGGTGGAAAGCAAGGTGGTAGAAAGGGGGTAGGGATCGCCGGTGGGGTTGGGGATGGAGATAGAAGTTGTGATCGAGAGCCTCGACAAGTGGTCTGCCGCGAGTGATGGCTTGTTGATGGCACGGCCTCGCCACACGGCTGGTATTGCGCCACAGGAAAGAGCCATGACAGCATGCTCGGCAAGCAAGTGCAGTGAGCGCATTCAGTTGCTCTGTGGTAGGATCGGACTGGTTGCTCGCAGCCAGCGGGTGCAACGATGGGCAAAGTTGGCGGACGCAATCGCAGGCGGCGGCGCACCCAACTCGGCATCCGTCGAATGGTGACGAGGGTGCGTCCGGCGGCGGGCATGTGGCACCGTCCACGGCTGTATGTACCGACGAGGGGGACGAGGGGCAAATGTAGAGAGACTGGACAACTGCCTCGGTACCGCGCGCGTGTCTGGGTCCCGGTGAACGCGGAGACGGTGGCACTGGCGGTGGTCTGGCCGCCGGTCAAGGCTGTCCCAGAGTCGTCAACCTGGCCGCCGACTCTGGCGTCGGCGGTGACGATGCCGGCGGCGGCGGTGCCTGCGACTGAGGCGGACAAGGGGCCGCATCTATCGTTTGGTGTGCGGCTGGTGTGTGATGATGCGGTAGTTGTCGCCTCGTCAGCGAGTTGGGCTGTGAGAACGGAGCAGCTGTCGGTGGCAGAGGAGCGTGAGCTGCTGGCGCTGATGTCGGCATGCGCGCTCCAGGTGCCCGTGGGAGGCCGCATCGACCTCCCCTTGGCATTGGCGGCTGCGACAGCGTTGTGGTCGAGCTGGTGGCGGCTGCCGGTGGTGGCGGGCCCGTGAAGGCCGGGCACCTTGTGGGCATCGGGCGCAAAACCCGGCATCAGGTCGAGCTTGTTGGCGGCAGCGCTGCAGGGCCGAGCGGGAGCACGGCAAACGCCGAGGACGAGCAGCAGGTGGAGCGTGAGATGGAGCTGGCGGCACAGGCTGGGGTGTGGGTGGCGGCAGACAAGGAGATCGCTGCGGTGCGTGCAGCGGTGGCGCTTGCGCTCGGGCCGCAGGACGCATTCACCCGGTTTGGGCTCAAGCCGCTTGCCGGCATCTTGCTCTCGGGGCCGTTGGGCGTAGGCAAGAGCACAGCTGTGGCATGGCTTGCGCGCGAGTTTGGTGCACGCTTGCTGGTGGCGCAGCGTGCGGCGCTGATTGCAGCCGACGCTGAAGTCGGCGGTGCACTCAGTGAGCTCCGCGCAGCATTTGCCAGCGCGCGATCGGCAGCGACAGCGGCACCCGACAGACCGGTCCTACTCTGGCTGCCCGAGATCGACGAGCTTGCGCCGGCACGCGACTCGATGCTCTCCAACGCGGCGTCGAGCCAGATCATTACCCAGCTTCTCACACTCCTCGACGGGGCGCGGGCTGTGTCGGGCGGCTGCGGTCGGGTACTTGTCATTGCCACCTGCGCAGAACCAAATGCACTCGACAGTGCGTTGCGACGGCCGGGGCGGCTCGACCAGGAGTTTGCGCTCCGGCCGCCGGACGTGCAAGTGCGCCAAGTGCTGCTGGAGGCGCTCATAGGCGAGACCGGCGAAGATGTGGGTGACGCGGAAACGCGAGCAGCCATCGCATCGGCGGCCGATGCGACGGTGGGCTTTGTCGGCGGCGACTTGTTTGCACTTGTCCGCGAGGCAGCAGCAGGTGTGGCGAGCGGCGATTGCGGGTGGGAAGAGGCTCTGACTCGGGCTCTTGTGGTGGTCCGGCCGTCGATGTCGCGCGAGGCCCAGGTGGGCAAGGCCGACTCTACCACAGCTGGCTTTGACTCGCTCGCTGGTCTGGACAGCGCAGTGAGCCAACTCCGGCGGGCGCTCGTGGAGCCGCTGGCGTATCCGGAGCTGTTTGAGGCCTACGGACTGGCCGTTGCGTCAGGCGTGCTACTCCACGGCCCGCCTGGGACCGGCAAGACCTCGCTAGTCCGTGCGCTTTCGACGGCGCTCTCACTCTCATTCTTTGTTATTTCTGGCGCTGCGCTGTACTCATCGTACCTTGGCGAGGCTGAGGCGTACATCCGACGGGTGTTTGCTCAGGCGCGGCGGGCGCTGCCGTCTCTGGTCTTCATCGACGAGGTGGACACGCTTGTCGGCTCGCGGTCGTCCGGCGGATCAGACTTGGTGCAGGAGCGAGTGCTCTCGACACTGCTCAACGAGCTCGACGGAGTTGGTGTCGATTCGAGCGGCGTTCTTGTTGTGGGAGCCACAAACAGGCTCGACAAGCTCGACGACGCGCTGGTGCGACCCGGGCGGCTTGGCCTCCACATCGAGGTCGGCGCCCCGACGCTACTGGGCGAGAAGCCATTCTTCGGCTCTGCGGGCTCGACGACGAGCAGGCAGCGGCCGTCGCGGCGCAGGTGGAGGAGGGAACAACCGGTGCCGAGCTGCGCAACCTGGTGAACCAGCTGCGGATGGCGCAGCTGCGCGACGAACTGCACGCTAGCCATTGAAAACCCCAGCGGCTGGTATTAGTGAGCTATAGCTGTGCAAGGCGCCACTCGCGGGCTACAGAACGCAGCAGGCGCTCGTAGTCGGTGAGTGTAGCGTTGGTGACCAACGTCGGCGAGAGAACACGCTCAACGCCGCGTTCCTCTGGCGTCTGCCCGAGCTCGGTGAGGAGGGTGCAGAGGAGGTTGTGGACTTTGGCCAGCTTTGTGTGCGCAAACTCGGTAATGATGGAGGAGGCCTTAACAAAGAGGCCGTGCTTGCGAGGGCAAAGAAAGTAGTACTTGCCCTTGACCGAGCCGTCGTTGCGGCCGTGCGGCTCATCGAGCTCGACGCCATACCAAACGCCGCGGGCAAACGCGGTGCGGCCGACAAAGCGCAGGACACCACGCTTACCGCGAGTGACAACCCGAACGCCGACCTTGAGGGCAGCTTTGGGCTCGCGGCGCTCCCAGTGGGCCGGGCGGCCGAGGCGCAGAGGCGCCCTTTCGGGATCGCGGCGGTAGACGGCCACGGTTTCGTCGGGGATGGGTAGCGCCACAGCAGACGCATTCGGAAGCTCAAGTGACTCATCGTGAGGCAGTGACGAGTCGGCAGGTGCGGCCGCAATCGGGACAACTTGTGACGGCCGGGCGAAAACACCGTAAAAGTGCTTGGGTGCGCCGGCGCCACGACCAGAGAGTGACGGCTCACGCGAGCGGGTGACGACGGTGTCAAAGTTGGACGACCCGTCACTGCCGTCGGCAGTCGCGAGCTGGTTCTCGTTGCGGACAGAAGTGTGATGCGGACGGGTAGAAGTGACGAACAGCCGAGTAGTATCGAAGCATCCATCGGTGGTGCCGAGCGGCTCGTCCAGCTCGATACCGACAACGTTGCCGGAGCCGTCTGGAGCCGGCCCGCAGTACCGGACGCAACCGACGAGGTTGGCGGCTGGGCGGACGGTGTATGACTCGGGTGGAGGCCCACAGAGAGATGCAGGAACAAGAACAAGCGTGCCGAGCGGGAGGTAAGAAAGTCGGTGGGGGCGGTCCATGACCCTTGTGAGTAGGTAAGAGCGGTGGTTGGCTCGGTCATCCGCAAGCGTCGGGTGGAGAGCAGGTACCCAGGTTCTGTCGGGAGTTGTCCACACCCAACTACATCAGGAGAAGCAAGCAAGGGATAGGCGGCAATGAGCATCGGCTGTGTTGGCGGTCTCCGCGATGTGCGAGGGCTGGTGGTGGCCGTTGTAGTGGGCCAGAGGCGGTGAAGCGAGTTGTCGAGGAGGGTGCATGAGGCAGTCGAAGGCACGGGCAGTTGTGAGCTACGGGGCGAGGTCGAGGGTGAGAGGGGGTGGGTGGGATTAGTCCAGACAGTGGCTATGGGTGCGTCATCATCAGTCGGTGACGCTGTCTGTGAGTGAGGACGAGCAGATGAAGTGGGCTGGCGGCGGGTGGCGGAGGTGGTGGTGATGGCGACAATGACCACTCGCGCCAGGTCAACTGTCTCTGTGCCCCATACACTCGCTCTGCTGCCATCGCTCGTTCCTCTGGGATCCCAATCTCACGCCTGCATCCTCGACCTCAACATCGTCCTCGGCCTGGCCGCTCGTTTGCTTGGGCTGTCGCTCACGTGGGCCCGCCCGGCAGCGATCCGGCGCCGGTGGGCATTCGCAGGAGCTGACTCGCTCGCGATGCATGGTTCATTGGGCCCTCTCCCTCGCCTATCGCTTGCACTTGCCCTCTCTTGTTATTCTTTGTCTTGGCCAGCCCGGTGGCTTCGTCGTCCTGTCGGTCCTCTCGCCACCAGCTGGGTTGGTTGACAGGTGGGCTGGGGCAGGATGGACAAGGCGGGGAGAAGGAGGGGAGAAGGAGGTGGGGCAAGGGACTGATGCCACTGGCACTTGTGTCACTACCCACATGCATCGTCTCCAATGCCCTGTCGATGGCTAGCTTGCTCTTGGTGGTGCCGGCAGTGGTCGGTCGGCTTGGGCGGCGATCGGTGGTGAGCAGCAGGAGGCCGGCAGCGATGCTGTTGACGGGATGGTGTCGGCTAATGTGCATATCAGCGGGCAGGAAGAGGGTGGCTATGTTTGCAGGCATAGTGAGTACGTGTGGCGTGGGTGTGGTGGTTGTGGGTGGTGATGGTGGGGAGTGGGGGTCGGAGATGGGCCCGGGGAGGAGGGGTCAGCAGCATCGAAGCGACACAGGGCCAACAACTTGGGCCTCGGGTGGCAGAACTCGGATTCCGGAATACTACAGCTGTGGATTGGAGACTGTGCAAGGGGGTAGTGTGGGCGTGTAGTAGGGTAGTAGTGAAATCAGATTGGGCATATCTTGCAATGAGTGTGGTGGGGGGCGTGTGTGGGGTCGGGCGGTCGAGGACGTGCTCAACCACCTAGGCCAAACAAGTCGACGCGAAAGTGAGCCGAGGAAGATGAGTGTCGATGACAGCGATATTGATACTGGTGATAGTGTGGGGTGTGTGATGACCTTGATTGTGGTCGTGGGTTGCGTAGCTGGTAGTGGGAAGGAGCTAGATGGTGATGAAGGTGGCTGATCGGGCGAGCGGGAGGCGGCTGGCGGGTGGTGGTCGACGAGGCGGGGACAGCTGAGGGGCCGGGTCGGGGCTGGGTGGCTCGAGATTGGTATTGGTTGGAGGACATGCAGTATGGCATGTGATGGTTGACGGATGCCGGTGTCGGGGTCGGGAATGAGGATGCGGGTGAGCTGGAGCGGGACGAGGAGGAGGAGGAGGAGGAAGAGGAAGCGGGTGCGCGATGGGATGGTGGTGGGCATGGCCATGGCATGGGGGTGGGAGTTGTGGCTGGGATGGAAGTGATGGTGGTGGGGTAGGGGTGAGGGTAGTGGTTGGGAGTGATCGGGCGTAATGAGTATGGTAGGGGGATGAGGGGGGTCGTGACGTGGATGGCGGGACTGGCGAAGAGGTGGCGGGTATGGAGGGCTTGAAAATTGATGTGGGTGGGTACGGTGAGGCTGATGGGTGTAACAACAACCAAAGTTCATACATGGCTTGCACAGCACACACATGAGAAAGTCAACAGGGACTGGGTAAAGCTGGCAGGCAATGGGATGAACTCGGGTGACGTTGAGGTCAATGAGGCAGGGCGCGGTTGATCGATCAGATCTGCAGATCAACCATGACCACGACACAACAAGGTCAACACAAAATACATTGCATGAAAAACTACTGACCATGGCCAACGACAACAAAGTTGAGAATCGATAGTGTAGTGAGCAAGGCCCGATGGTGG